GACCTTGCTAAACTTGATCAGGTGCATTATAGAGCTGCCTTACTAATAAGTGGGTGTATTCGAGGAACGTCAAAAACTAAATTATTTAAATCATTAAATTGGAATGAACTGTCTACTAGAACAGATGAAAAATACTTAAAGTTAATGTACCAGGTTAAAAACAAGACTGTCCCCTCATACCTTCAAAGAATTTTTGACCAGCATAGAAATCCGGTACAAAATGTGAATCTTAGAAGGATTAGACATTTTACTGCCCCAAAGCCAATTGGCTCCTTTTCCAAATCCCCAGTTACTAGAGCAATACGTTTATGGGAAAAGCTCCCAACTGATCAAAAAGAAAGTAAAAGTTTTGCTAGTTTTAAGAGAAGTGTCAAAACTCATCTTAAAGATAAAAATTTACCATTACCTACATCTCAGTTAGAACTATCACGAAAGAGTGAAATATTCTTAAATCGTATTAGATGTGATTTTATTTTCTCTGGCCATTTTTTCTTACATAATTTTAGAGATGTAGAAAGTCCAAAATGCTTATGTGGCTACAGACAACAAACTTCAAAACACCTTATCTTCAATTGCCCGCTGTTAGTTAAAGAAAGAGAAGAACTTTGGGGGGAGCTTAGGGTGATGCCAGAACTGAACCATTTCTTTTTAATTGGATGCACTTTAGAACAAAAGACCAATACACTTTTGTTTGGAGATAATTTAGTGAATAACAAAATCAAAGGTTGTGTATTTAAGATTTTTACTAACTTTCTCTGTAAAATAATGGAAATTATTTGAATTATCAATTTATAACATTTAATCAGTTGTTTCAACAAAAAGCCATCTGTAATAATTTGTATGTTGTATTCTCACAGGGCCAATAATGCTTTCGCCTAGGCCCTGTTAATGTATTATATATATATGATTTCAATAAATGAACCATAAAAAAAAAACATGTAAAAGCATTATGGAAAACCAATAAAGTAACGGTTATTGCATTTGTTCATCAATTGTTGCTTCAAAGCAGTTTTGCATTGGAAATTCAATATACAAGAAAACAATTAGAAAACAAATGGTACTTTATAATGAACGATACCTCATAACATGCAATATTTGACACAATTTTATTATTTTACCATAGGTAAGACGTCATGGCCTGTTGCACTGCTGTGTATGGTAGCCCTGGCTTTGAACATCACCCTTGTTGTGGCTTTAGTTGTGCGTAGGATCCGAAAGAGACAGCCTTCTCACTATCACAGTGTACCAGATAATGCCTTCTAAACCGTACATGAATTTGACTGAATGGGGTGTATACAGAATACTACATCCAATACACTGTAATATAACAAGATTCAAGATTTTATTGTGTTTCAAACCAAACACTTGGTTTCCTCACAAAATCAATTACAAGACATTTACATATAATTATACAGTTAAAAAAAAAAAACATGCATTGTTTCACAAATACCATCTCAACATGGAAACAACTTACAGCTGAGAGACCAGTAAGAACTGCTCTATTTGGAAACGGACTTGAGAACTTAATGTATCTTATTACTTCGACTTCTAAAATTTTTCTTAAAATATTACTCTGTCAAACGATTTTAACTTCTCTTCACTTGATGAATATTTTGTTAAATTTTCATAGTCATAATTTCACCAATACTATTTTGATGAGCACCAACCAGCAATACACACCATCAAAAGTCTTTGATGATATAAAGCTGATTTTCTGAAAACACCAAAGTTTGAACAAATGCGCGCACGCACATGACTGGAAATAACAAGGGCGCATGCGCCTTTAAAGTTTCAATAGGCAATTTTAACAAAATCTATTGATGGTGTTATTAACAGGTTATTCTGAATTTAGAAGCTTTCTATTATTGGGCTATTTGCCCCTTTAACTTTTATCTTGAATAATTTGTACTTATTCTTTGTTAAAAATATATCCTTAACTATTCTGCAAATAAATCCGTCTTTTGTGTTTGATATTTCTTGAAAGAAAGAAACATAGCAAGATAAGCAAATTCTAAGTGTAAACCTGTCATAAGAAAAATAAACCCTTTATCCAAAAACATGATCTAACCTTAAAGAAATAATGTCTAACAGCCCCTTCTCCCATCTAATCGAGAACCAATGTCACAATCCTGGACCAGAACACCAAGGAGCTTTTTATTCATACTGAGGTCATTTCAATACACGTAGATGAAAAATTGACAGTCAATACTAACAGTCAATACTAATAACTATTTCTGTTTTCGGTCCCGGTTTCTCAACCGTTAATGCCATAGCCAGGATCCACATTAAAAAGTGCCAAATGAAAGCACACGGAGGTTTCAATTCCTTATAACAATTCCTTATTTTTCAGCAAAGCCTAGAAAGGATTTCTTTAGCTTGTTACAAGTATAATCTTGACCTAACAGTTTGAACATTAGAATATGACAATTGATTTCAAATCTATATGTTTTGGCTTGCTTTAACTAATGATCCATAAAACAAAACAAAGACATTTACAAGTCAAAATATGTTTACTTGAATTTGTGAATGTTAATTTGCTACTTAAGTATTATCATAATGATTATATATAAAGCTAAATTTGAACTGTTATAGGCAACTAAATATGTCGGACCGAGGAAAGTAAAGCCTCAGTAACACCCCAGTCACATTTCCTACGGCGACCTTGCGGTCTATCATTTCTGCGGCCAGTAACATTTCTACGCTCGCAGTCACATTTCCCACGGCAGCCGCACGGTGAATTTTAAATTTCTGTTGATAAGTAAAACTTTTTTCATTTTATTTACATCGGGACAATTTATAAATGTTATTCATAGTGCTAGGATGTAATATCAAATGAAAAGTGATCGTGAAACATTGACAAATAATGATTCAATCTTGTTGAGCCAGTTGATTTCTACGGGGACCTCAGAAATGAACAAATATTATAACTCCGAGTTATAATTTCTACGGCGACCCTGCGGCCTGTAAAAAACTGGATACGCCGTACGGAGGCTGCAAGGCGAGCGTAGTTTTCCTACGCTTGCCGCAGAAATACACTGATTTAATTGATCTGTGGTCGACGCACGCCCTTCGTACGACAAATGTGACTGGGGTGTAACATTTTCTCCACGGCGACCGTACAACGGTCATAGTTTCACAAAATCGATGTAGGAAATCTACATCGTCCTGCTTATTCCTATGCTGCATACTTCTCTCGGTTTTGGGATGTACGGCCGCCGTAGATGTTCAACATTCCAGTCCCCCAAAACAAAAGCTGGCTTCCAATATGTGACTGCAGAGTATTAGCCAAGGTCCAAATCTTCTGGGCTCGTCTATTTATTGAGGAGTTTGTGCCACACAGGGATCTATCCCTTGTTCTTTTTTTCTTACTATTTGCTTCAACACCTTTCAAAGGTTCATACATTGGCTCTCATTTCTTGTTCTCATCTAAAACATTCGCTTTAGAAATAATATACTTTTGGATTGAAGAGTTTAGCATGGTAAATTATTATTGGTGGAAATTTAGGAGAGGTGGTTTTAATTTCCAAATGTGTTCATGCTGGTTGCATGCTGCAGCTGCAATAGACCATATGTCGTATGTTGTTGTAAGACATGCATGTGGAATTCAACAACATCGAAATAGAGAAGTTCGATATTATCTTGGGGAAGGGAATCTGTTGAAATGAGGGTGAGAAAATTGACGAATGGTTGACACAATATAGGTACTACTCTTTTTTACTATTGTAAAAATACTACTGTATTGTATGACTTATTATCATGAAATAAAGAAAACATGAAAAAAATCCATTTAAAGGGTTGAAATTACACCAGGCTACAGTGACCACAATGAACTCACCCAGCTACGCTTTCTCCCTCCTTCAGCTCGGGTGCAGTTTTAATGGTAGCCTTAGAGACTGGTTTGGCAACGCCCCTTGTGCTAGACCTAACTGCAGCTTTGGGTCCGATGTAAAAGGGTAGGAGGTCCTATTAATTTATGGTGTATCCATTGATTTATATGGTTACCTCTTTCCCTTATTATAATACACAATCAGGGCCAGTAATGGCCTTTAAAAAGGGGGACCATAATCCCTGAGGGACCATAAATTCTTTCACACCGGTCTTATGAACAGTAGGTTTAGCTGCAGCTTTGTCTTTATCTTTCTCTGTTATTATTGCAGAGTTAGATGTTTCAAATCAAAATGATTGTCATAAGACATATGTTAAGGTTAATGCAAGCAAAGTTGAAATAGTCAAGACTGGCCACTTGGATTGTCTAGCTTAATACATACAGGATTAAACCAAAAGAGAAATGAGAACATTGCCACAAAATTGGGCAAATTTATTACATATTTACTTTATATTTTATTTATTATTTATTGACATAAAGACCCTTTAGTCTATACTACTTATAAATCTAGAGTTATTGCTGCTTCTCGGTGTCTTCAAATACCCATGCTTATTAACTAGGTGTCCCCAAGTTGTTAGAAATAATAGGAAGTCATACTGTAATGCTAACTTTTGAAATTCCGGGGTAGACCATATGTGGATCTTAAAAATTACAAAGACCTGTTATCCAAATGTGATTTTCCGATTTATTCAAAAGTAAAAGTTTTTTTACACTTTGCATATCATAAAAGAGGAAATATTTGGAATCATTAAAAATACAATTAGAGGTAGTAAGTTCAACAGATTGTGATTCAAAGAAGGCTTTCTTTTCCAGCAGTCAAATTTAACTTTGTGAGGTTTTAGACTTTTTGAATGATATTTTTATTTACTAGTATGTAAAAGTCTGAAAATAGGTTTACATAAAAATGTTGGCACATGTGCATAAATATAGGATAAGTAATTTTACCTTTTACAGTTTTAATCAAATTAATTTCAGGTACCCTCATTAATTATTTTCTCGACCGGAAATAATTAATAACAAGAAAGCCCATACAATAGGCTTTAGGTTTATTCGATACTGGTATGCCGAAATATTGCTATATAAATGTATGCTATTTTGTCAAACACTCAGTTACAAACCAACAGGACAACACATCGGAGCAGAAAAAGAAGAAAAATGTTTGTGACAACGTTAGGAATCGTTCTGCTTTCATTGGCGGCGGGTAAGTTTATTTTGAAATAAGCTATACAACAATGCATTACTAATGAGCTTTATAACATTATACTAGGTGGGTCGAGCGACGTCCATTTTCAATTCGGCGATAACTTATTTAATAACGCTTGGCTTTTGAAAATATTTTCATCGTCATGCAGGAATCACTTTTGAAATTGTACCTAAAATGGGAAAATAAATCGTTTCTCAAATGAAAGTTTAACATACAATGGGTGTCTTCATGAAAATACATTGTTCTTGGGATGATTTACGAAGCAACAATTTTAACTTCGATATTAGTTATTCCTCAAATAATAATACTCTGCCAAAGATGTACATTGGGTCGGGTGTTCAGCATAATGAAATTATTACAAACAAACTGAGACTTATTATATTCGATTTTATTTGCAGTGTTTAGAGGATGGTAGCGTGTGTATCGCATGCGCAAAAGCTGTCTCATATGTGTCATACATGTTTCTTTCATTTCCAGTAAAACCTCAACAGACAACTCAACTTCAACTGCCAACAACTCAGCTACCAACAACTCGGCTGCCAACACCTCAGCTACCAACAACTCGGCTGCCAAGTTCAACTCGACGCATGACAACCACTGTTATTCCAAAACGAACCAGTTATCGACCTCTGCCAACCACTGTAATTCCAAAACGATCCAGTTATCGACCTAGGACGACCGTGATTGCCCCAACATCAACCAGACGATATTACAGTACTTCTTCGATTGTTGGTAAGTTATTTCAAACAGTCTTTCCGAGGAAAATAGAACCATATTCTATAAAATGAAAAATTGACGGTTATTTTGATTTTAGTTTAGTTAACATTAATTGAAAATACACATTCAGGTCTAAAAAATAAATTGTAACCATTTGCAGGTGGTGACATTTTGTCATGTCATGTTATGCCTTGTTTTTATGGTTCAATTCCCATTGCAAGCATTGCTGAATAAACACATTTTGAATTTATTTCATGGAACAGCCCCTATTACAAGCCTTGGTGCAGGCCATGTAAATTGTTCAGCCGACCTTAACATCGACATCCTAGTTCCTTCTTCAATTATCACAAAAGAAAATCTCAACATCGGTGAACCCCTACACGTTGAAGGCAACACTGACTGCAAGATTGACTACAATGGAGGCCTTGGAGTATTCAATGGAGAAATGTCCCTTTCGGAATGCTTCACTTTGACGGTATATCATTTTATTAAACTAAACAAGACACTACACTGTATACAGTTACTAGCTTAGTAAACAAATCACTTTTGAAGTAATGTGATTGAAATCAAATTGAAATGTCACAAAATGTCAATGATTATACTGTTACCATTGTAGGAAAATCAAGATGACATAATGTATGAAGCTAAAATTATTGGAGGTAGTGCGCCAGCTAAGAATGGAGTCATCATCAGAAAGAGTCAGTTTGCCCTGGACGTTATATGCAAATATGACAGATTGGCTGAAATTGAACCAGCTAAATTTGTTGCAACAAGGGGGTAAGCTTGTATTCCAAAACTAGAAAAAATTTACCAAGGTGGAAAATGTGATATTATATTATACAGTTTATAGCCAAATAAATAATATAAAATACAAAAAGTAATACTATTCGATACGCAGGAGCTCCTTGCTTTTTTTCTATTTATGTTGACCTTTCATTTTATCCACATACAAAAAATTGTCAACTCATTAAGTTGAACTTCAATTTTTAATTTCTAACATGCATTTGTCATTGATTTTGTGTATTTCGCACAATTTAATGGGAATTTGAAAATGTGGACGTTTTTATTCCGCTGCTACTACTACAACAATATTTTGAACATTAGTTTTAATACATGTTATAATCATTTGACCCTTAGTTATGTAATTGCGCGTCTTTGTTCTATAATTCATCCAGGTTTAATATAATATCTTGAAATATTAATTTGGGTGATTTGTGAACTTTATTGATAGCCTGTAACATAACATTTGTCTTAAACGGGATTTACATAAAACATGATATTTTGTTTTCTGCAGGAAAGTATCGTACAGAGATGAGAAAATGGGAGAGTTTACATTTACTTTGAAACTCTATGAAAATGCAAACACCTCAAGGGTTCTCTCTCCTGAAAAAGAGGTATAGAAATCTGTCATAATTTTTTGTAATTTATGTAATCTGAATGCTTTTAGAATTGATTCCAGCATTACGGTATAATAGACCTTTCCAATAAATCCTGACCCCTGTTTGTGAACCAAGGAAACTAGGGTATATTGGCTATACATGTATTTATGATGTCATACTTTACAGGCAGCAGCAATGTTTGGAAACAAAATTAAAAGAAGTTTTTGAAAATTAGCAATATTTTAATCCTATTTCTGCACTGAAATTGTAAGAATGACATCATAACCATTAGATGGCATAATTTGGATTGGTCTATTCAATTAATGATTACAGGACACTTCTCTGTGTGTTACTCAGCAAAATGAAAACTGTTACTGTTACAGAGGCTGAGAAACAACTGTAAACACGATCTTAACTGTTTTAGATTGCTACAACTGAGAATGTTTTTGCTGACGTGCGATTGACAGATGCTGACAATTCTGGTTTGAAAATGGGAGTCCAGAATTGTTTTGCATCTCCAAGTGAGGACAGAAAGAATGCTATCAACACCTACTCACTCATTGAAGACAGGTAATAAAAAGAACAGGATTTAAAAAGCAGAGCTACAAAAGCTCTCTAAAAATCAAAGGAATCATCAAACCAACCGAGTTGTCATATATCATGTACATTGTACTAGTTTGTCTTAATACGCAATGTTGTCATAATGCTTGTTTTGTTTTTCAGTTGTTTCAAAGATGACACTGTATTCACTGTACGATCATCAGGAACTCAATACAAATTTGGATTCCTGGCCTTCCAGTTCACTGGAGATATCAAAGAGATCTACCTCCATTGTCAGGCTGCCGTTTGTAAAGATGATGACAAAACTGGAGCATGTAACCAACCAAAAAAGGTAACAACATATTTGTAAAAATGTAATTCTACTATTTTTTGTTTGTTTCAATTGCAGTATAAATATGTTTCATTATCAGGAAGTTGAAAAGGTTAATGATATGAGGGCGCAATTATTTTATCAGTTTTAAGAGTAATAAGTTAATTTCATATTTGCAGAATTATCAATTATTTAAGGGAATACACCGATAGTTTTGGGACAAACAGCTGTCCGGCCCTTCTCTATTGAATTAAAAAAATTAGGCTAAGGATCTTTTTTTGTAAAATCAATACTAAAAGTCTTGAATTTTGGAACCCCATGAGATATAATATAAAGTCATGCACAGTCGGTATTGGATACAGGATTTACCCATTGGGAAATATGTGTTTTTCATTCGAAACCTTGCAGACCCAGGAGATTTACACATATTTATATTTACCTCGAAAGAAACTTTGTATCCGACACATCCAAGTAGGAAATTCTTTATATGTTTGCATTCTGAAGAGTTCAGTGATATATGTTCCCAATGTATAAAATTTTGTTTGTAGAAATGTGTTGAAGGCGCTCGTTTGAAGAGAAGTCTATATAATGCAACACTCGTAAGTCCGGCTCAAATCTTTGGAAACAGTTCCTTGATCAGTAAAAGAAGTGTATACGAGGCTCAGAAACAAGGGTTGGTTGCACAAGACAGAATGGTTAGGAGCATCCCTATTTCCAGTGATGCAATCACCCTGGAACAAACAGAGAAGTCATTCTCTGTTAGAGAGGCATTTGGTGAGACAGTTTATTTTAATTTATTAATTCATTGATCGGGTGGTTCTTTATGGCTTACTTCCTTTGATTTTGGGTTTATGTATATTCTCAAATATTATGAGAATGAAAATGATTCTTCTGTTCCTAAAATATCAGAAAATAAACTGAATCAGAATTTAGATATTTCCAACCCTTAACTAGCCCATTTTATGATGAACATTTTCAGATACATTAAAGCAAATGGAAACCCAAATAAAGATAACTTAGGAATAGTCAATTATTCATCTATTCATCAATTCTTGCTTTAAAACGGGTTTCGCATTGGAAAAATGCACATGGAAGCAAAATGTATATCATATATGTCATGTCTTGGAGATAAATAATTCATTAAGAAATTGGTCGATGTATGATCAAAAAGGTAAACACCAAAAACAATGTTTTTACACAATTTTCTATATTTTACCATAGGTAAGACGTCATGGCCTGTTGCACTGCTGTGTATGGTAGCCTTGGCTTTGAACATCACCCTTGTTGTGGCTTTAGTGGTGCGCAGGATCCGAAAGAGACAGCCTTCTCACTACCACAGCGTACCAGATAATGCCTTCTAAACCGTACATGAATTCGACTGAATGACGTGGATACAAAATACAACATCCAATACACTGCAATGTCACAACGCAACAAGGGAACATTACTCAGCTAAGAGGAAGAGCTAAGAATGGAAACTGATCTATCATTTGAACATGGACTTGAGTTAATATAAATTAATTAATTAAGTTAATATAGCCTTATTAAAGTATCCATACTTTGGTTTTCTCCAATAAATATATATCCTAACTATTATGCAAATAAGTTCTGACTTTTGTATTTAATTTAACTTGTATAGTGGCCAACATTGAGTTTAATATGGCTTAGAAATACTAGAATACGTCCTTTGCTAGAAATCCTTTGCATTAAATTAAAGCCCATGTGTCTTTTAAGTGAAATGTCCGTACAAATACTTTCAATTGCTTTTTAATTAAGAGTTCTCTTGAATAAACCTCGTATTGAAAACCTGGGAATAATACTAAAACAAGACACATGGTGGACAACATTTCATCAAAATATGCGGTGTGGGGCAGCTTTAGAACTTCTCTTATTTAACACGTAACATTTTAAGCAATTCTGTTAGATTGTTTTCTGCAATTGCGATGATCATCTAAAAAACTTCTCAAAATGGCTGCCAGAAAGCAAGATATTTCTATGTATGAAAGCAACTTCCATACGTAGAACCATCACTAAAATTTTAAATGAGATCCCTCAAATGGTTTGACTGGAAATGACAAGATTTTGGGAAAGAAAATCCAAAATGGCTGCTTTAACATTTACCAAGAATGCCCAAAACCTAACCAGTTCTACACTTGAATAAATAAACTAGATATCTGCAACTTCACGGAGTAGCATAATCCCAACGAACATTAAATTCATGAATCAGTATATGTCACAATGTAGTATTTACCATCTATGAGTTTAATATATAACCATACTTTGACAAGATCAGAAAATTGCAAATCCAGAGGGCTTCACTATATCCCTACCGAACTTCGTTCGTTGGGATAATAATGAAGAAAACAGAATTGATGCATGTGTCATTCAGTGTTTTCATTAATGCCATTTTGACACAACACTTTAATCCTGGGACGGAAAAATATTTGATTTCACGTACCAAGGGAGCAACTAATGGATGAATATATGGACAGACAGAAGGACAAACGTGAGCCAAAAACAGACAACGCACATTTTCTACGACTACAGTTTTTATTGTTTTAATATTATATTCATATTTAACAATCACAATGCCTTCAATTACTGTAGATTGGGTTAATTTGGCGCTACTTAATTTGGCGATTTTGCCATTTTTGGCATATTGGCGGCTATTTAATTTGGCGGATATGCAAAAAAAATGTTAATGGAATGTTAAACCATGGGCTTTGGTTAAACTTACGCGCTGTTTGCGAATTACCATGTAAATGGGCATGTTTGGCTATGTTCATTTTTTCTTTTGAGGACCACTGGCGATATTCACCACATTTGTACATTTTTGTGAGATCATCCTTTACATTTTACACCTCAATCGATGCTGCTACTTTTCCCTGAGTATAAATGAGTGACTGACCAGTTCTGAGCCAATTTATGAGAGACATTTTTTCATATTTTTGGAAAAAATAAACCGGAAGTGACCTAAATACACTGGACGAAATACCCTAGATGATTCCCGGGGATTCATTCTAAATTTTGGCGGAGATTTATATTGGCGAATTTTTCAATTTCGCCAAATTCGCCAAATTAAAGCGGGCGCCAAATTAACCCAATCTACAGTATATATGCATTCATAAATACACAAAGCAAACAATTTCTATTCTCAACATCAAGGAAATGTTGACACCACTAGTTCACATTTTCACAAAATTCAAATTTCACGAGCATAAATGTCTAATCACCTCAACGTAATGAGCCATCCACACAACACTAACTTTGTTATACAAATGTAAAATGTATCACTTGATTGAAATTAAGGGAGCAAATAAGAGTGTAAATGCATCCTTAATTAGTAAGACACTGGGTCGTGTTTCAACATCAGTCCCCCAAAACGAAAGCTGGCTTCCAATATGTGATGGTAGAGAACTTAGCCAAGCCAAGCCCAAATCTTTTGGTCCATGTATTGTAGAAGAAGGGTATGTGTGCCACACAAGAATCCAATGTACACACCTTAATGCTGAATATCCCTTGTTCATTTTTTCTTACTATTTGTTTCACCAAGTACCTTTGCATTCCTGGAAGACCTGGAAGCAAAAAATAATATGAAGTGTTTCTGCTACACTGGCTTGGCGTTTTACATAGTATATTTCACATTGAAATCTACTAACATAAATCAGAAACGATAGAGTTTTTATTTATTACTTACTATAATTAAGATATTAGGATACAGTTTATTATGAAAATTATAACTAGTGGAACTTCATAACTTCTTTTAATGCTGGTTGTAAGAGATGCATTGGTGGTAATAAGAAAATTATTCAGGATTGCATTATTAGTATAGGCTATGTTGTTAGTCTACTCACCTTTTCGGGCGGACCTTTCTCACTGGTGAATCACTCTCACTCTGTCCTTCATTACCAGATAAAACCTCTGTTAAACGAAGCTTAGGAGATGCAGATACAGCAACATTTTTGTCTCCCTGTCGCTTTCTGCTGGAGCGCCTAAGGGGTGTTACGGTTGTTGGAGAAAACACATCTTCACTGTCACTAAAATAATTGTGAATATGTTTCAAACACTTTTATTAAAGGTGCCTGATCTCACTCGCCTTCCTTAAAACCCCCCAAAATGTAGATCATGGCAAACTTTTATTGAAAAAACATCGATAACATTAACAGCAAAGCATAGCGAATCTCATTTTTACAAAATCCTTCCACTACTTATTCAATTATAGCAAAAATGGTCAAATTAAACACACATAAAAATGGCCACATACATTTTTAAATGAGCGGCCATTTTGAAAATCAGTTTTCGAGCAGAGCTTCTACACCCATAAGGCATGTGTACAAAACATGAAAAGATCTGGACAACGGTATTTGTGTTATTGCCCAGATGGACGGACGGACAGAGGCGTTCCATATATCCCTCAGAGCTTTGTTTGATGGGATAATAAATTAGGATTATATTATGATCAATCAATACAACATATAAGCTGAAGACTTATATGCAGTATGTATATGCAGGTATGTCATGCAAAGGTTTGCTAATTAAAATAAACTTATGCTTATCCTATGTTATTAATCAAGGTACATGATACAGTATATGGATAAAATTACACAACCATATAGCCACCTAATATTAGAGAAGTTGCTAGCCTCTAATGCGTGTACAAATTAAAGAGAATTTGATAAACAGAATTTTGAGATGGTGATGACATTGAATTATTGAAAAACACCTAAAATGGCTAAGTTAACAAGATGACTGCCCAAAACATAATCAATTGTTAATCTAGGCTGTCTCTAACATGTGTACAAAAGATTGAACATTATTTTATCTATCATCTGTTTTTTGATTTTTGGGTCATTATAAAACTGGAGATAAAGCTGGGTTAAGTGGTATATCACTTTGAGAAAGTGCCTTTAAGGTATATTCCTTGTCATGCCATGTCTCTCCTTAAATATGGTAGCTATAACCATTTAGATACTTTCCATGTTTAGCAAAACACAAGAAAATGTTTGATATGGTCAATATTGATCACTTAAAAATGTAGTGCTCAGTTCCAATAGGCTGCCATCTTCGAAGATTTGTTGTTAATATTTAGTAACAACACAAGACAGACTGATAATTTTCAAATTTAGAACCAGCTATGGCAAAATAAGCATTAAAACTCGAGGGGGTATAATCTGAAATTCAACTCCAGACTCAACCAAAAATTCAAAAACTTTTTGATTTTAAAGCGAGTTTTTTGAAAAACATATAATTAGTCTAGATATAGTATTCTTATTAGGACTTTTTTAACAGATGTACCTTTTTACATTTATCTTTTTACATCATTCAAATACTTTCTTATATCCTTTTATACATTACAGGGTGTTCCAAAAGTAACAGGACTGGTGCTGGTATTTTGTTAAATATGCACCAATCGTCTTGAAAATTTTACATAATGTACTTTCATGTATTGTCACTAAAACTGTATAGTTTCAAAAAATATTATGAAATTCGGGTAGAGTTATGGTTGCTATGGTAACATGACATCACAATACCCGGGGCAACATTCCACCCAGAAAATTTCAGACTTTAAGCATTTTGAACAACCCATATAAAAGTTGAATGCAACAATTCAGCTGGTGAAAATTAGATTTGCTTTACATCAGTTGATATTCCTATGTATCCTCACTTTGCAAAGTAGGCTCCTCTTTGATCAGTATAAGAATAGCACTCTGGATCCATGATTCAAACACAAAAGTGAACCAATCTGAGGACATGTCACGCAGGGTCCATTGGACAACTAGGAGCAGGTCATTCTCATCTTTAAAGGTCATACCGCGCTGATTAGGATTCCATTCTCCATATAAGTAAAAATTAGATACTGAATGATCATAAGAGTATGGTGCATGGTTTTAGACATCAACACCTAGCTCTTCTATAGCGGCAGTGGTCTTTAATGCTGACTTGCGGGAAGGCACGTTATCAAGTTGAATGACTGGCTTCAAATTGCGTTTTTTCAAAAACTCAATCGTTAATTGTGCAAACTGTTATACATAGTGATATTCCAGGAAAGTAAATTAGTAAATAGATATTATTATTATGAAATCATACTTGTAGCGGAGTTGTAAAGCAACACCATTACAACAAAACAACTAATAAAACAAACAAGAAATGTTGTGTTGTAATAGGTGAATTCGATACTTTCTTCAGTCATACAAAAATTTTGGATATCACATTTTCATGAAAAAGTTGCCCCGGGTATTGTGATGTCATGTTACTATAGTAACCATAACTCTACCCACATTTTATATTTTTTTCTGAAACTTCACAATTTTAGTTGTAATACATCAAAGTACAATTTGTGTAAATCTGAAGACACTCCATACAGATTTGACAAAATGCCAGCACCAGTCCTGTTACTTTTGGAACACCCTGTATAATGTTATTGACCAGTTTGACTTTCATAACTTATATTTGGATGACACATTCATGATTGTAACACCAATGATAAATGTACCTTTGGGATTGAAACAAATTTTCATATAAGATTAACAACATATCAATACGCCGTTTTAATATTTTTAGATTGTCATAAGTCATACACCCCCTGGGGTGTTTTTATCACTATTATGTACATGTGTTTATCCTATGCCAAGGAGAGTTTTAGGGAGATAAGCTGGTAAGATATATCCCCTATCCTGATTTTAGAAAACTCCACTGGGTATAAGATAAAGCAGTTATGCATGGTCGGTTTGGATATGGTGCTTATCCCTCGTGAGATACGCATATCTACTTTTGGTCCCTGCGGTCCCTCAGGTACACGCATATATCCCTCTGGAAAAGCCCCATATCCAAAATCTCCCAGTACATAACCCTTATTTATATGATTTTGAAAAATAAATTTCAAAGAAATATTCAAATTGTTGAATAATGAGCCATAATATCCCAAATACTGCTGCAATGTGTAACAAGGCACTACAGGACAAAATGTCACCACCTCGTTGTTAACAGTATTATGAGTTCTAATCTTAGTCAACTTCTGAGAATTTGTAGCCAATCTTGAAATGAATAAAAAATTTGGTCAATTTGAAGCAAGTTGAAAACAGACCTTTTTGACCTTTTTTGACCTTGAGAAGTTCATTAAAGGTCAAATGTCAAATCTAAAGTCAGATTTGAATTTCTGAGAACATGTAGATGATTTTGAAAAAAAAATTAGTCAATTTGAAGCAAGTTGAAAAAATACCTTTTTGACCTTTTTTGACCTTGAGAAGGTCATTGAAGGTCAAATGTCAAATCTAAAGTCATATTTGAATTTCTGAGAACATGTAGATGATTTAAAAAATTTTTTAGTCAATTTGAAGCAAGATGAAAAAATACCTTTTTGACCTTTTTTGACATTGAGAAGGTCATTGAAGGTCAAATGTCAAATGTAAAGTCAGTTTTTAATTTCTGAGAACATGTAGATGATTTTGAAAAAAAAATTTAGTCAATTTGAAGCAAGTTGAAAAAAGACCTTTTTGACCTTTTTTGACTTTGAGAAGGTCATTGAAGGTCAAATGTCAAATCTTAAGTCAAATCTAAAGTCAGATTTGAATTTCTGAGAACACGTAGATGATTTTGAAAATTTTTTTTAGTCAATTTGAAGCAAGTTGAAAACAGACCTTTTTGACCTTTTTTGACCTTGAGAAGGTCATTGAAGGTCAAATGTCAAATCTAAAGTCAGATTTGAAGGTCAAATGTCAAATCTAAAGTCAAATCTAAAGTCAGATTTGAATTTCTGAGAACATGTAGATGATTTTGAAAAAAAAATTTAGTCAATGTGAAGCAAGTTGAAAAAAGACCTTTTTGACCTCGAGAAGGTCATTGAAGGTCAAATGTCAAATCTAAAGTCAGATTTGAACTTCTGAGAACATGTAGATGATTTAGAAAAAAATTGAAGTCAGTCTAAACAGTATTTGTTAAGTTATAGGAAGTTGTAAGAAATTGTTACACACCGGACGCCAACCTCCAACCACCAACCGCCGGACGCCAACCGCCGTCGCAAAAAAACGGAGACCATAACAATATGTCACCACTTTTGGTGGTGACATAAAAACAGTGACTGTGCCTGGTAAACTAGGTAACCATATTCAACAATAACATTTTCGATTATTAATTGATAAACCAGAATATAAGAAAGAAAATACAGCTGCAATGTGCACATTGTAACACAAAATCAAATAATGTTGTGATATTAGAATACTAATTTAACAGCTGAACTTTGAATCGTTAATAGATCGATGCTAAAGATAATAGATGGTAGTAAGATTCAGAGGTTATTAATATATTCACATAGTATATATAGTGTAATAAGTGTACCAACTTTCAAAGATTTCTCAAACAAAATCTACCTTCAAGTTGTACTATACAAAGCAGGTAAGGAATATATTATATAATTACTATACAAAGTTGAGAATGTGTGTTTCATAGACGCGTTTTTATCCGAATAATTTTATCAGGATAATCTTAGACTTTTTAAAATGCTCTTTCACGTTTGTTTTGATAAACCGAACAAAGTAATGTTATTTTTTACTTTCTTTAAAAGACAAACTGACACGCTTCGACCAGAATGATTTTATAATGTTTCCAGATGATGAATAAAAACGTTATCATTTATCAATTATATATAAAATGCTAATTAAGAGACTTTGTTAACACAAAGTTGAATTTCAATTTTGATTCTAATTGCAATTGCATACAGATCTTTATTCAGGGAACAAGATGTCCACAAAGAAACTACTACCTGCCCTGGGGAGCCTAATATTTTTGACTGAGACGATATTGTGTGCATCTGTAAGAACTACGATCAGACCTATATTTATTCGCCGAGATACATGTTCTTCCGTTAATGTGCAGCAATGCTTCCAGGCTTTTTCCAACGGATTGAACAATGGGGCGAACTGTGATCTTATGAGAGGTACATTGTTCTCATTGGTGCATTTAGCTATTAGACATGAGAGGCAAATACTACGCCAAATTACAAAACATTATATATATTTTTATGATTTTAAGAGAACTACGCAAAATATGACCGAGAATCTGTAAGAGAAACTGTGTGTAACATCAGGTTTAAATATTTTGACGAGATGTTAGAATTTTAAAACACGTGTTTTTACATTTCTGTGGTGAACAGATTTGGTCCAATGTGCATCCCAATACCCAGAATGCACATCTGACTATATCACAAAAGGACGTGCAATCGTGTTCATGGCCGGACGATTGAGGAAAGCAGGTGCATGTAGCAGCCAGGATATCGGACTGACTGGACTTTCACCACTTGTAGTTGGATCTAGTAAGTGCATATTCATTACGAGGGTTGATCATTAAATGAAAAATTAAAAAAAATTAAGAAATTAGAGAGATATTATAAACACTTGTATATTGAGGTTAGATTTCCGTTTAGTAGTCAGAATGTCTAAGATTTAATTTCCTATTTATCCGAAGTGCAGGCTGGAACTGCAAGTAACACTTATTTAATTTATATTCTTATATATTTCTTAATATTAATGTAAATGGTTAACTAGATGTTTGAAAGATATAACAGAGATGTTGTATTCCAGACGTTGGTAATGCTATTGGACTAAGCGGATCAGCAGCGGAAAGTGAGTATATGTAATTTTGAATTACAGAATACTGTTTAAACATTGGTTTTTCTAAATTTTGTGTTACCATTTGCGATGGCATTCCGCGGTTGGTGTTCGGCGGCTGTAACAAATTGCGGCTATTGACAATCTGCATGTTAATGCCTTGTTTATTTGTATTTTAGTCTGATGAAATTTTGTCTTATTTGCAGGCAGCTGTGTGGCAAGTGTAGATACAGAATGCATGAATATATTCCATCAGTCATTGAGCTCCTTGGGCTTATGTAGCGCACTAGACAGCTTGATAAGCTGTATCCAGGGCAAGCAAAGCGTATGTTCCTCACCATTGATCGGAGAGATGTCAAATGCAATGGCCCATCAATCCATATCAGCTTATCTTCAGTCTTCTGGAATATGTTGAATATTGACGACTGGATTGGTACAGTTTTACCAAGAAGAAAATAGGAAAACCCAAAATAGTTTGCCTTACATTGGACTTTACAATAAATTTAGCATCACTGACTATCTACTGAGAAATGAACGAAACGTCTAATTTCTATTCTTTTCATGGTTTCAAAATTTAGACCATAATAAAATTATTGCAACTTAAAAGGATCGTTTTAGTTCATTAGATAGCATGTAATCTCTCATGTTATTTTACTTTCAATCCCAAAGTTTGTTCATAGTCATAATAATAATTTTTTAATAATTTGAGATATTTCAGTCAAGAAAAGTTGAAATTGGGATTCTTAGTTCTACGATTTCCAAATTATGTTGACTTACCAATTGTAGCTTGAATAGAATACATAAACAAACAAACAAACAAACAACTGCACATCAGGATATAATACATCTGGAGTATAATTTTTCTGAAGTCAACTATTTTCTGAATATGAAATCACATCCAGTGTGATCATAAAAGAATATTAATCATAGTGCAAAGAAAAGCTCCAAAATGAACCCTGAGCTACAACAGTTGCAATTGCTCATTAATTGAGTAGCTTAAGTAGCATTAAAACTACATTTAATATACAGTGTATTTCCAACAAATAACATTGCAACTACATGTAATTACTAATTGGTAAATGTGCTGATACTGCTCTGGTTAATAACATAAAACTCATTTCTCATGTTAGAAATATTTTGATATAGTATCGAATGCCTATGAAATGTTCACAAGTAAGCTAATGCAATTCGTTTTATATTAAAAATGTTTTGATAAAATTCATAATTGCAAGGCAAATAGACCTAATGTAAACTCATATAGCTGCTTGAAGTTACTTTATTTTCAATTATAAACTCCAATTACAAATTGGGAAATAAAAGATGCATAGTGTGTCTCCCTAGGCCATGTTGAAAGCAGCAGAAGAGTTTTACTTTTAGCCAAATTCAGGTCAGAACTGTTTCTAGGATACTAAACTGAACTTAAATTTGACCGAACACTAAGTTTTGAAATGCCTGTAACTTTTTCAGATTTGTGAGTTGAACCATAATATTTGGCAAATCAATGTAACCTTAGATAAGCTGTAAAATGATATATGACACACACTATGGAAACATTTGTATATATCTGCCTGGGGGGTTAATGTACATACATTAAACTAGACAACAGCAATGCCAAAGCATAGCAAATCCCATCGAACAGCCATGGCTGGCATTTTACAAACAAAGAATATAGCAAAAAATTTTCAAAATGGCCACCTTGTACCAAAAGTGTCAATAGACAGTGTGCCCTGCTTCTAGTTTTTACATACCAAATATGAACAAAATCGCTCCACTACTTTTCAAGTTATAATAAAATACGTTAAAATGGCGGCCTTTTTGAAAAATGGCCGCCTTCTACCAAAAGTGTCATTAGACAGTGTGCCATGGTCATTGTATTCACATACCAAATATGAACAAAATCGCTCCACTACTTTTCGAGTTACAACAAAAATCGTAAAAAAGCGAGTAAAGGCCACCATTTTTTAAGATGGCTACTATTTCCTTCTTTGATATCTACATTTCTAGCTTTATAAATGTCCTACATAATTTTTTTACATTTAAAACATATTGCTATTACAGTTTTACACATTGTACCTAAATTACTGTAAAATCGCACTAAAATGGCCGCCATTTTTAAATGAATATATGATTATAGCTATAATATCAGGATAGAAATGGCATGGCAAGGAATAACCTTTAATTTTAAGATTTTTTCACGTTGGGTGAGCATGGCCATCTTCAACTGACCACATAATAAGCTCACTACATCTTCACTATGATCATGGTCACAGTCCCAGTCCTACTTTCAACTCAACTTACCTTTCTCCTTCTTCCAGCTCAGGTGCAGGCTTATTGGCAGCCTTTGAGACTGGTGCAGGGGCAGATTTTGCAGCTCCCGTTGTGCTAGACCTAACTGCAGCTTTGGGACCGGTCTTAGGAACAGTAGGTTTGGCTGCAGCTTTAGTATTCCCTTTAGGAGTTGATTTAGAATCATTTTTGGGTGGGACTTTTTTTGTTTTGGAATCAGCATTTGTTTTGAGTTTGGAGCCTGTTTTTTGGGAAGATAAAGTGGCTATTGTGGATGTTGATACAGGGGAGGGGGCTGGTGTGTTGGACTTTGAGAGTCTACTGGATCTCCTTGTAACACTGCCTGGAGTGGCTGTCTCTGGTTCACCTGGAAATACATATTTACATTCATCAATGCTTTCATTTTCTATTAACTCAAATATATAAGACAATTTGAAAGCATGCAGTAAAACTTGTGTACATGTATTGTATAATGAACATTTTTTTGCAGTAGATGTTTGTAGATGCATGTTTACTGTAACAGAGAGGGTACTGTAATCTATACAGAAGTCAGTAGAGTGTGACTGCGGAGGAAGCATGTCCACAAGAGACAGGTGTTTACTAAAGAGATATGTTCACTAAGACAGATTTTACTTTAATGTTTTTGACACAAGTGACAGCTTAAATTAGTCATGTGATGTGTAATCAACTTATCATGCATCTATAATTATAGCACTCTGAGATCAGTGATCCGGTGTGAAAGAAATGATGGTCCCCCAGGAATTATGGTCCCCTTTGTTAACGGCCCTTACTGGCCCCGATTGCGTATAAGGTAATGAGGGAAAGCGTTGTATTTAGGTCACCATATAAATCAATGGAGAGTAGGACCATAATTTGATAGGACCTCCTACCCTTTTACACCGGCCAATTCACTTACCTTTCCTAGAGGGTGTCTTCCTTGCTGTTTTCCTGGCAGGACTTTCTGAGGAACTTGAATCATTCCCATCATCAGCGGTCTTATAAGTGTCACTCTATAAATATAAATGATAATGACTGATTAAAGGAGAGGTGGATCTGAATGGATAATTTTTCCATTTTTTCTTAGAATTGCAGAGAAATAGTTTGTCTCTCTAGGAGTCTGAATACAATAATAATTTACATAATTGAGGTATTATATGTAAGAAAGCATCAAAGGCTACAGAGAAACATTGCAATCAGTGTTCATTATACACAGGTGTTATCATACAAGAATGTCAGCAAGAAGTTAAATGGACATAACAAACACAAATGAACACAATCCACGATCATGTGACATTTGATTCTATTCATTTCTTTCCTGTGAAACTAGTTCTACCTCATATTAAAACCCTTATAATCTTGAAATCATCTGCCTTATCAAGTTTGTATACCATATTCAAAATAGGAAGTAATAATTAAAATAAAGTTTGATAATGGAAAATAAGACTCATAGTACGGATATGACTCTTACAAAATGAACCATTTTTTATCCATTGGGTTCAACTGAAGCCAGTCAACCTAAAATATAATTATCATCATAAATTTTTTATATGAAAAATGATTGTATCAATATGGTCCCTTAATATGTTAATTTTTCTTTATTTCCACCACTTTGAGACATGTACTTATATATTTACATTTATTTTGACTTATGTAACATACAGGAAGATGAATTTGATAGACTATGAGATTACCCTCATCTGTAAATCTGGCACTGGTATACATCTATACTAAGATGCAACAATATCTCATACTAAGTTAGAAACCAAAAGGACAACACCTTGGACAAGAAGTTGTTAGTGACAACACTGGCAATTCTTTTGTTATCACTGGCCGGTGGTGGTAGTTTTTTTGTCGTTTAACAAACATTACAATTATATGTCAGCCAAATCGGACATCGTTTGCCTCACCCCCTCAAGCCATCTTTATTTGACACATTTAGCATGAATACATTAGATTCACTTATGAAACATGTACTAAATTGAAAACTGACATATAAAATAGGTGATATTTTAATGCAACTATTATAATGACTAAGTACTATTTCATATTTTTAATAACACGTTATAGTGCCCTACCCCTGGAAAAATATAAGAAAGTGGGCGTCATCAATTTTATCTTTTTGCAGCATAAAGTTAGAAACATGTATCAATAGAAAGCAAATCAATGCATTCAAAACATCTTCAAATGTCACTTGACATTGTAATTCATTATATCACTAGAATATAGGACTAATTTATATGTCAGTTTTCAATAAAGTACATGTTTCATAATTGAATCTAATGTATTCATGCTAAAATGTGTCAAATGAAGATGGCTTGATGGGGTGAGGCAAACAATGTCCGATTTGGCTGACATTTTTTTGTGCGGTCCCTACTAACCATAGATCATAATGTATGAATAACAACTTGATCAGAAAAAAATTCCAAAAATGAAACACCCTATACTTTATATTTATATATATATTATTATAGGAAATTGATTTTTAGACAAAAGGTCACTCTGTGGAGGTGTGGGGGTTCTCTAGGATTTAGATTTATTAACTTTATTACACATTCCTACCCATAATGAGTTAAGTGTATATAAAGCAAAACTGATCACTAACATGATTCACTTTATAAATGTTAAAGATATAAATGGTGACTGTGATATGCATCCATTCTTTATGTAATATACACTCTTTTTTTGTAATAGCTCACCATGTGACATTAACTTTGAAGGTGAAGGATAGTTTACCTCTTGACTACTTTCAAGTGGGGCATCTTTTTCAACTTCCACAGGTTCAGTTGCATCGTCCTTCGAAGCTTCAACTGCAGTTGGAACACCCTCATCTGGTTCAGTTTCACCTTCCTCCACGGATTTAGCTTCAACTTGCGTTCCAGTGGACTGATCTGTGAAAAAAAAGCAAAAACAGAACTTATACAAATGTCAGTTTATTCTATTACCTCCTATTACCTACTTTGCTTGGATATACTATACATATGCACTATGCAGTGCACCATGATCTTTTCTCATGTGTGTTCACTACTTACCTTCTTCTGCATCCTTCTTCTGATTGTCTTTATCTTCTGCAGCTTCATTTCTCTCTGCTTCAGGTTCCTCATCTTGATTAGTGGTTACACTTTCCACCTGAGGAAGATATATATTAGGTTCAACGTTAAGAGTTTTTCATATACTTTTGAATTCAATTTTAGTACAGAAAACATATTTTTCAGTTTAAAATAAGTTTTGAAGTGACACACATTATTTATGATAAATATTGCAAAATAGCCACCATGCAATTTCAAAAGAATGCCCAAACCAAATCAGACATTGCTCCTAATCTGCTCTTGCATCTGTAAAATTGAACGATGAGTGGTTTTTCCGAAGTTTAGATGACAAGATTTGTGTGGCGCCTAGATTGTCCAAAGACAAGACAACAATATGGCACTTTGATAAAAATAAACTTGATTTTTTTATTTTATTTCATTTTTTTTATAAAAATAAACTTGATGATAAAAACATACCTGTTTATCTTTGTTGACTTCTTGGACAGACCTCTCAATTTGGGACTCATTTAAAGAAATCATGTCAGTTAAAGATTTCTGGAACTTCTCAAGGGTCTTGGCGCACTGCTTATCTTTCACCTCCTAAGTAATGAATAAATATAATAAATAAAAATATACTTTATCTCAGTATACTGAAGAAAAATCATACAACATTTTTAATTGCTTCTCAACTGATTTCAAATGTCTCATTTTCCCTATTCTGCCCGAGAAATTACCAAATATACCAAAATATCCCACTATTTTAACAAAATTCCAATTTCTCAACTAAGTTTGAATATATTTTGAATTCAACTGAATTCAAGCAATTTTGAACTTGATGCAAGGAAATTTTCAATCGGGTGCAAATCAATTTTCAATGTCTCAACTACTCAGTTGCTACAACACTTCATAACTTACCGCCACCATCTGATCAGCAAGCACTTTCAGGTCTTTGTTATTTGTAGCATTGGTTGGTGTCAGCTCTAAACTGTTGAGGATTTTGCATAGATTGCGAACATTGAACGAGTTGGGCTCTTCAAGGATATCATTGCAAACTCTAATGGCAATGTCATCATGAAGAGATGTCTCCTGGAATGAAAATATTATAGTAAGAATCGTACACAGATCTAAGAATTTGGGGTCACAAATGAAGTTTCCAGCTAAGAATGATTGCTAGTTAACCAATTAAGACATTGTTGATCAATCTCATGACTTAAGTTAACCAATGAAATCTTTCATGATTGATCACATGATATACAAGTGACTTATCAGAAGTTTCTTGAATGCAAACCTACCTGAAGGAGAGCTGAGTTGTTATTGTTCATAAGATGTTTAGCACTGGTCAGCTGGACAAGTAGCTCAGAGACATTGTTGACATTAACTTCTGCTAGGGGACTTGTGGCAGGGGCATTGAACAGTGTCCTGAGAGTTGGCGTGAAACACTCAGCAACCAGTTCTTGGTTAGATCTATAAAAATGCAGGGAAAGACATATCACAGGTGACACCAGTGTCTTCATTTACACAATTTCATTTTGTAAAACTGACCATCATCACATTTTTCAGAAGAAACTGTCAATCATTAAACACAGACAGTTACTTACCTTCCAGCAAATGCAAACATAGGGAAGAATGCTCCCAGGCAATGTCTCAGGTGGGAGTCTCCTTCAGTAACTGGGTTGTACCAGAGCAGTATCAAGCGGGACAAGAGCTTACTGGAAAGAACTCTACCACTAAGTAGGAGCTTTGCGAGACCCTCAGCTGCTGCAGTACGAATCTCAGTTCCCTGAAAGATGCAATGAATTTCACATAAGCCCATTTCTAGAAGTAACAGATAACTTGTCACATTTTGCAATTCATGAATAAGCCTGCTCAGTTAAGAAAAACTTTCAGAACACTAGTGTAGAGAGTCTTTATCTCTATTAGTCATTAAAAGGTAAATTAGAACACCGACTGAATATCTTTATTCCTACCTCCTCATCCAGCAGCCCAATCAGGATAGACAATATGCTCTTGGTGGTCTTGCCAGCATGCATTTTCTCAGTTGATGACGTTGTACTCTCCACCTCAGACCTTTCATCAGCTTCTTCTGTAAAACCAATAGACTATAGTTCACTATAGAAAATATATAACTGCTGTAATTATTATGCTAAAGTAAATGCTATTAGTTTACTAAAAACAATCAATGAAATTCTCATTTCTTCAGAAAGTTGAATGAGTGATGATTTTTTTGCCATTTCTATTTACGGTTTTCATGGCTACATGTCTGTTTACTTAATTCCTTGCTAATTCCTGTCATTTCCGTTCTTGTCATTTTAAAACACTCCTCACCTTTTGGGAGTTCCACATCTTCTGCATTTTCCTCTTCATCCTCATCAACATCAAATGATTCCATGCCAAATGTGTGAAGCAGGTCAAATATAACATGTAAGGCAGTGATCTGAACCTCACAGGCATCAACACGCGAAATCTGAAACAATAAGTCAGATTTTTTTGATTTTTTGAAAAATAACAATATGGAAATCAATTGCACACCAAGAGCAAATGTGAAACAGCTACTACATTCTAGCTGGATTTGATTGGACAGCCTTTTAACGCTGTATCTTAAGAAATTCTAGTACATGTACTGTAGTTTTAAAAGTGAGCGAGTGATAACTAATATGAAAAGAGAATTTATTATTGTTCCTAAATAAACAAAGTTTGTGTTAAAATATTTCAGATCTATTGTGTTGTATTATTTTCTAAACCTGCACTAACAGTGAAGTACTTATCTTAAAATAAAACACATACAGTGCATGTTCAACTCAACCTTTCTTACCTGCATGAAGAGTAGCAAATGGGCCCTTGCAGTGTCTTTGCTCAGTAGACAAGAGAGACCAAGTGCCTTCACAGCCTGGTTACGCACAGCAGGGTCCTCATTTGGTATACATGGCAGAATCTGCGTTATAATATAAACCAATTAAATCAAACATAGTTATCATTGGTATTACTGGAGTGTTTTGTCCAGTTTAAAATATTTTAGTCAAAATGAGTTAACTGAGAAATCAAAAGAAAAAAAATTCTGGGAGGAATACTATCAATTATACTACATGTATATGGAAACAAAACCCTTTTATTTGTGTAAAACCAGAAACCAAATGTATTATTTTTGATTCACTGCAGTCCATGGAGGGCTACAATAGACTATAGTGCATTAAATATTTCCACAAAAATAGTAAAATATGTTTATAAGGAAAAATGCACATACCAGTGTTTCCATCAAAGTCTGCAGTGTTGGTGAAAGGGACTTCATGGAGACATCTTGTAACATGCATGTTGTGATTGTAAGACACTTTAGCAGAGTACCAGGGTCATTCTATAAGCAAAATACACTTTTCTAAAAACTGTAATATCTATTTTAACAGTATTAACCAGTTTTTATCTCTTAGTTCAGTTATGTATGTTACAAATATCAAACTTTTCTCCCACAATTAAAAATACTTTGTATTATTGAAAAGGTCCTACTACTTGGTCCTGATGTGAACAAATGTTCTAAAGTTTTAAAAAATTTAAAATCCTCAATTTCCCATGTAATGCAGTAGCCTACTTTAAATAAACTTTTAAATCCTTTTTTCTGATTCTGATGACTCTACATGTTGAGAGTGTAACTGAAAATTCATGAAATTTCACTCACAAAGTTTTTCAACCCAAATATTGTAACAGACAACATACTACTCAATTTCATGAATCAGACTCTATGGAATATACAATAGTTAGATGTCCACAGATAAACTCACCTTTTCCTCCCTGATCTCCTGTGTCTTTGGTACCCCCTCATCCAAGATGGAAGCCTTAGATGCATCTAGTTCAGTTATTCTGGCCTTAATCTCAGCTGCCTTGCCAAACTCCTGGTTCTTTATACAGTCATCCAGTTCCTCACGTAGTTGGTTCAACTCCACTCTTACACCAGCAAGCTTTGGATAAAAATATAAAAATGGCTTTTATAATCACACTTAATACAGTACCATCAACTGTAAAACCCTGGTCTATAAAATCCTTGGCTTCTCCCTCCAAGATGAGGGTCTCAAAAATTATGAGCTTTAATGTGATGTTGAATAACTCCACAATTTTTAATTACTTGATATATATATCCCAACACCAACTAGATTATGCTATATGACTGAGGTTCAGGATATTGGGAATATCTTGCGGCAAATATAATACATCTGCTAGAGTGGCAGAGGAAGCAATTTCTAGGTCAAGGTATGGGATATATAAGTAAACAGGACTGTGGGGGAAGCTTAAGCATGTGCATCTATTCTGTTTTGTGTATAAAAATTTTAGAATAAATGGATGATGGAACTACAATATTATATACATGGTCACAAGCTTTTTAAAATACATTTTGTTTTATTTTTTTAGATGATTTAGGACACCAAGCATGTCCAAAGTATTCCAAGATAGACCTTATGTTCTAAAAGCTCACACTGAAATATTTAATCCATAATTTCCATTTAACCTAAGCAGTGAAATACACATACTTGAGGCTGACTCATGTGTAATTGAGAATATTATTCACATCTCAAGAGATTATCTAACTTGCATGTGAGGTTATGTTTAATGATGTTCACTGATGTATATAATTATATACATATATAAATGATTGACTTACATGTAAGGCAATTTTTTTATCCATCTAAAATAACAGTCAATTACAATTTTTGTGGTTAAATGTATCGACAATTAGATAATAAAAAAGATAATGATAAATATCACATAGTCTATGTAATTTACCCAGCATGCCCAAAACATAATCAGATTTTGGCATTAGTCTGCTGTTGCATCTATAAAAATTTCAAGTAGAACAGATGAGTGCTTTTCCCGGAATTTTCATGATAAGATTTGTTTCACCCACACACCCAGCAACACAAGATGATACCAACATAGCACTTTTAATGTGCGATCATAAGATCTGCCATCAAATATATCACTATTCATTCTAAAAAATCACAATTCTTATTTTGCGTTTCAGATATGACAGTAAATTTTTCTCACCTTTAGATCAAGTTTCCTTTGTTCATCAGCAGACATAGAGTCCTCTATAGTAGTTATAGGTTGTCTGATCTCAGAGATCACCTCCACAAGATTACTGATTCGAAGATTATCATCTGGGTGAATGGTATGTAGGCGTAAGATCAATGGTTCAACAAGGGTATGACTGGTTGTAGTACACACCAACATTTCTCTGATCAATTTGTTGAGACTTTTTCTGAAAAAATAGTTTGGAGATAAAAATTTGATTTTCACTACAATTACTCAAATTATTTAATAATGCAGACTTGCCAACCTAAAATGAAAAATTTTCGGGAGATTTAAAAAAAATTGCGGTACTTTTACGGGAGTTTTTTTCAAAATCCGGTAGTTTTTTGAAAAAAAGGAGTTTTTACGGGAGATTTAAAAAAAAGGGAGTTTTTGCGGTGAATTTTGAAAAAACGGGAGTTTTTACGGGAGATTTTGAAAAAACAGGAGTTTTTACGGGAGATTTTTTAAAAAAGGTATTTTTCGCGGTACATTTTAAAAAACGTGACTTTTTTTACGCAAGATTTCAGAAAAACGGGAGTTTTTGCGGTAGGTTCTGAAAAAACAGGAGTTTTTACAGTAGGTTTTGAAAAAATGGGAGTTTTTGCTGTAGATTTTAAAAAACGGGAGTTTTTACGGTAGATTTCTGAAAAAACGGGAGTTTATACGGTAGATTTCGGAAAAAACAGGAGTTTTTACGGTAGATTTTTGAAAAAACTGGAGTTTTTACGGTAGATTTCTGAAAAAACTGGAGTTTTTACGGTAGATTTCTGAAAAAACTGGAGTTTTTACGGTAGATTTTGAAAAAAACGGGAGTTTTTACGGTAGATTTCTGAAAAACGGGAGTTTTTACTCTAGATCTTGAAAAAACGAGAGTTTTTACAGTAGATTTTGAAAAAACTGGAGTTTTTAAGGCGCATAAGCATTAAATTCAGCGATTTAATTGGTTGAAATTATTATGACGCATGCGCAGTTAATAAATTAATTAGAACTTATAATCTAAAATAGATGTCACTTACGTTCATTATTTGACAGCAGTCCCCATCCATAATGTGCCTTATATTGCAGGAATATTTTGTTTAGCGCCATATAAAAACAAAATGTATTCTCCCGACAGAAGTTTGACAGAATATGAACTGGCTCCCGTTTGTGGACATTTGGTGTGCAAACTTATACCGAACTGTTCGCAGTAAAGCAATCTGAATCATGGTGGGAATGAAGTACATTTAAGTTATTTATGAAAGTATCGATAGTGAACCATGGGAGCCAATCCTTCTTGGAGTAAAAGAAAGAAGCGTGCCTGCAATAATCAAGGTCACAAATTTGTCAAATTCCTTTTAAATACGGTAGATTTCGACAGCAAAAAAACAGAGATTTTACGGGAGTTATACCAAGAATACGGGAGATTTTATGGGAGTTATACCAGAAAACGGGAGATTTTAAGGGAGTAATACCAAGAATATGGGAGATTTTACGGGAGTTATACCAGAATACGGGAGATTTTATGGGAGATTTCAGCAAAAACACGGGAGATTTTACGGCCATACTTTTAAAAAAATTACCGGAGATTTTAGTAGAAATACGGTACAGGAGTTTACGGGAGTTTTTACGGGAGAAACGGTACGTGAGTTTGGTATTTTTTACGGAAAAACAAAACATTTACGGGAGATTCCTGTAAAAAACGGGAGGTTGGCAAGTCTGTAATGCATCATAAATTTTGATAATAAGAATTATGATTATTATTATATGGGTTTCCTGCATGGCAATCAACGTTGTATTGCTCTGGTCTATATCAAGAGCAGTGGTATTTCTTACCTTCCAACCTCATCTGATAGATCGAGCACTCCAGCCAGTGTAAGAAGCTGGTGAAGAATGTATTCATTGATCAACTCCTGGTCCATATTCTCATCAGTGTTACTGCTTATGTTCTCTTTCATTGTACTTCTAACACTGAAAACATTCAATTAAATGCAAATTTATTTGTTAATAATATGGTACAGTTTTCAGCCTCAGTCACATTTGCTCTTTGGGGGATGTATGGTGGCCCTAGCATCACAAAATCGATATAGAAAATCTAGATCGAACGGCTTATCCCTATATTTTTGCTGCATATTTCTCTCAATTTGGTGAAGCTACAGCCACCACATGGTGGCTTTTGATCAAATGTGAATGGGACATTAGACACAAAGCATACAAAATACAAATAAAATATCTGAAAATGATTTAAACATATAGCAGTAACTTTTCCTTCATAGCCTCTCGTTTCAGATGCGTGTATGAGTATCTTATGTAAAAATATAAAAAAGATTTGCTGCTTAATGCTAAGATATCCTAAAGTAATCAACAATGTACCTTTCTATGTAGCTACAAAATGCAGTGCCATTGGGTAGGATCTTGTCTAGTTGCTCTTCTGCTGAATCTCCAAGTGATTTAATGTGTTCACACAGACATCTCCAATATAGTACAGATTCAGGGGACAGTTTCTTAAACTCGAGCACACTCCTTTTAAAACAAAATAATAGATTCTGGGGACAATTTCCTAAACTCTGTTACACTCCTACGTAAAACAATATAGTACAGATTCAGGGAAAAGTTGAATGCTATCAATGTTGCCTGTAAAACAAAATAGTTCAGATTCAGGGGGCAGTTTCTAAGCCTTTATCATATTCCTATTAAACAAAATAGAAGAATCAGGGTACAATCTCTTCAATTCAGTCACACTTCTGTTAAACAGTCTGATACAGAGGCAGAGGACAGTTTTTATGTTCTATCCATGACATACTCACTGTTCATTAACGAGATCAAAGTTCTGAACAAGCTCTTCAACAGGTATTTTCTCAAACAGAGCTTTCAGTGCAATCTGACAGGTTTCCATGGAATTCTCAACATCCAAGCATTTGAGGAGGTCAAGGACATTTCCTCCCCACACCCTGAGCCAAGACTGCAGCAGTTTTCCTTTGCAGGCATCCTTTACCAAGTCTGGAGGTAAAATTGAAGAAAAACGTGATTTACATTAAAAAAATGATTTGGATGGAATTGAAAAATAAGCCTAGCTGATTCAGCTAGGTGTAACTTAAATATCTTTTTAAGAAAACTAATCAACAAATGAAAGACAATTTCAAATAATCTTGCAGATACTGAAGTACAAAAGCCACAATTCCAAAATTGAGATGGCCCCAAACAGCAAAGTCAGTGCATATTAGATTGTAATGAGCCATACCTGTGCGGTCATTTAATCCATCTTGAAGCAATCGAACCCTCTGAGCTATAGTCAGGGCTTTGATGTGAACCTTCTCTGCAATCACTTGGTAGGCCAGCTTCCTTACAGATTCCTTGGCATCACGTGTACGTTCCAAGATGGCAGGAAGTGTCTTAGTGGAGCATGCAATGTATGAAAGAACTGCACGTCTTACATCAGGATTTGGATCTGAGCCCAGCAGGAACAAATAGGCTGAAATAAACAAATATAAACTGGAGTTTAATTATGGAATCAACTTAATTATTTTCACTTTCATAATATGTCACCATGAATTCACTTATTCTATGTAATCTGGATCATGTGGTCTTAATAATTCTTTTTGAGTGTCTTGTTCCCTAAAAGGGACTAGAGTGAATAGATCAAGTTTTCTAATTCCTTCAATCTATGTACAAACGTATTGAAATGTAAATAAATAATCTCAACATCATACCTTCTATGACTGGGCAATCTTTGTCTTGTGGGTCCTGCAGCCTGGCTAGAGCAGTGACAGCTTGTACACGAACTATGGGAAACTTGTCCCGTAACCTCCTCAACATACTCTCATATACTTTATCATAAAGGTCATCGTCAATCTGAGCATTCTCACCTAAGTTGTTCAGTAGTTTGTTTATCATCTGACAACATCGGAATCGAACAGCTCGATCTCTTGCATTGTGGGACTGAAAGATATTACCCATATAACTTTGATGTAAAAAGGTGAAATGCCAATTTTTTTTCAATATATATAATAAAGTGGGAGTTGTAACATCATGTTATACAGTGGTATTGTTTGATTGTAACCAAGATAAGAAAATTGATATATAAATGATATATTTTACCTCTAACAGAAACCCAAACAACTTCAAGAGGAGTTTGTTTTCCTCTTCCATCTCTTCTGCCAAAGACTGCTCTTCGCCTTCCTTTGCCTCCTCTGGTTTTTCATTCTCCTTTGCTTGCACCGAGAGAGACGTTGTAAATTTAGCAACGAAGTCCAATGTGCGTTCTACTGCTGGCTCCCGTTTAAATACTATCATAGAGTATTTTAAAAGTCCTTGGAATTCATTCCAAAAATCATCAAGGTTCATCTGAAAATGTTTTTTTTACAGTTACCATGGAGTCATTCTAAATCACATGATCTGATATGGCAACTTTAAGGAGGATGCTTAGTATGAAGCTTAGTATAAGTTTGTAATTCTATTTCTATATATTTTTCCATCCACACTATCTTATAAATAAATATATGGTTTGTATTTTTCATTTAAGAATAAACATGCAAATCAGTACTTACAGAATCATATATTTTTTTAAGAGACTTGATGAGTTTTCCATGACTCTGGAGCCCTCTTTGGCATTCTGTGAAAATGTCTTTCAGCGTTTGTTTCACCATCTGTAAATATGAGGGGTTAAAATGATTACTACCAAAATATGTCAAGAATCACGGCCCTATCTTATTAACAATCCAGGTTCCAGAACTTACAAGGAAATTATCAATATTGACACCTAATTTAATTTCTCTTTGATTTTGTGCTTTATGTTATGCTTTTTCTTCATTGCTGATAAAACAAAGCTGATACAGATACAATGGAAGGTAAGTAACAGTCACTTTCTTTAGGCTTGCTAAATCTTACTCGAATCTCAAGCCAATTCTTGGCTAGAAGTAATTCCATCTGGAACACCGTGAACTATTGTAAAATAGTTTACGTGTATATAAGAGATGATATGACATGTTACTTGAATTTATTCTTATGACTCCAAATTTTCCCATTTTTCATTCTCCAGAGATATAATATCCAGTTTCTTACTGGTGATTTATAGCAAAAACATTTTCTTTTGCACGTTGGTGATGATGCGCCTTTCTTAATAGATCTCATATCTTAAAAGGGTATCAGTTCAAAAAAATACTAGATAACTTAAAACATTTTGCCATGCACTGCGCCTATTCATTTGGCAATTCAGTTGTAAAGGAATGGTATCGATATGGAGAACTTTTTGAACACACGTTTCTCTTAAACCAGTCATAAGAAAAATCTAAAAATTTAACACATCGTCAATTTAATGGTCATATTTTGTTTGGTTACAATATAATTTGAATACTTTCATCTATATTGTTTTAGAAAACACATCAAACACTTCTTTTTATCTTGGTATCATGTTTCCAGAGTTGGGGGGATTTAGTTTTAATTTTTTGAACACTTTTTTAAAATCAACCAAATATTCCTTTGTATAACTATAATATTGAGAGGTCTAAAAACATGTTGTGTATGCTTTTTTGTTCCAACAAGGTTCGGAAAGACATTTTATTTCATTCTCAAGAATTGGTACAAAGGAGCAAAAACAATTGCACTAAAAAAACAAAAAATGTTAACAAAAACAATTATGTAAAAAAATATTTCTAAATAATTTTCGCATTAAATTCTTGTCAATCAGTCAGAATTACATAAAATACCATGTTTTATTACAGAATGTTTTCAATGATTGGTTAAAGAGAAAAACATTGTTGAATGCAGTTCTCCATATTGATACCAATCCTTTTCTCTTGAAAAAATAAATCTTCCAAGTTTGTTGAGTTTTCTTCCAGAAAGCGCCTAAACCCCCTCCATCCTTTTCCTACGATCACCGGGCGTGTTATTGGTACTTCTGGGCCACTTCCGGCCAAGTTCAGGGCCAGTCAAATGGGGAATCCCCTTTTAAATCCAACCGCCATCTTGAAAAGTGATGGAATCTCTCTCGATCAAAAATGAAAATTTCTTCATTCTGCCGATAAACCCAGACAATTTTGGATTCAACTACACGAAAAGATCACATGCTATCTATTGCAAGACTTACGCCTGCCACAACCGTCACCATGTTAATCAGTGTTTTTTAAGTAGCGCAAGGATCCTGCCATGACCGTGGTAGTGTTATCGTGTAAGCCTGGTATAACCGTGACAGGCTGGTATAACCGTGACAATGCTGTATTCTATTGCAAGGCCTGTCATGACCCTGGAAGTGTTATCGTGGAAGCCTGGCGCGACCGTAGCCTTTATTGTGGTTTGATAAGCGAATGTGAATATTAATGTATAGTAGTAATTTTGATTTTGACATGATTAAGGTAGTTAAACACCATGATCATAGTATTAAACTGTTTAATTGTAATGAGGATCACTTAAAATTGTTAAGGATATTCCTGGCATTAATGTCATACATATTTACCCGGCATATTTACTAGTCATTGCAATACATTATAACGGTCATAGTAGAACTAAGCCTAAATCTCTACATTACCACCCTCATACCTGGCCTTGCAATACTATATTACATGGTCACGGTCATACCAGGCTTTGCAATCCCATAATACATTGTCATGGTCATGCCAGGTTTTCAAATACACATTGTCACGGTCAATTATAGCAATCATAAATTTCTACATTACCACTCTCATACGCGAACTTGGAATATTATATCACATTGCCATGGCGGTCATACCAAGCCTTGCAATACTATATTACATTGCCATGGTCATGCCAGGCTTTGCAATACACATTGTCACGGTTATAGCAGTCCTAATCGTAAATTTCTACATTACCACTCTCATACCTGAACTTGCAATACTATATTACATTGTCACGGTCATGCCAGGCCTTGCAGAACTATATTACATTGTCACGGTCATGGCAGGCATTGCAATATAATACAGCATTGTCGCGTTTATACCAGGCTTTCACGATAACATTACCACGGTCATGGCAGGATCCTTGCGCTACTTAAAAAACACTGAATAACATGGTGACGGTTACGCCAGGCGTTAGTCTTGCAACAGATAGGGTCTCGAAAAGATTGCTAAAATACCAAAGAATCTATTGAAGTAGGTATCTGAAGTGTAAGTGGCGTAGATAATTCTCCCAAGTTGAAATTGTACAGGCAAAAGATTGGGCTCGTTCCAGGACTATAGTCCTGGCACAGGATAAATTCTATTATATTAGATAGATGGTGCTGGCTGTGGGTTTTTAGACTAAAATATTCTCTTGCACTATAGCCTAGATTTGACCTCGATTCTCATGAAACGATAGTGTTTCGCAAAAGCAAAATAGCAAACTAATTGTAGCCTAGGGACTAAACTGAGGCCTTCGTAGGCCTAACTTAGCCTAAAAATGGGCCATTCCATTTAAAAAATGTACGGGGGGTATGGATGCACAGGCTGAGACACCCCCCCCCAGAATTTTTTTTCTTGCTACCCCCCCCCCAGAAAATTGCATCCATACCACCCCCCCCCCAGAAATTTGCATCCATACCCCCCCCCAGAAATTTGCATCCATACCCCCCCCCCCCAGAAATTTGCATCCATACCCCTCTCCCCTGGAAAATTGCATCCATACCCCCCGAAACACGCAAAATCCCCCCTTGAGAAACAATATAAAGGTTATAAGTTGCTCCTACCATTGAAATAGGCAATCAGTTTGCAGAATTTACAAATTAGTGTTAAAGGCACATGTTCATGGAAATACCCACGTTATCGGTGTGTGTACAATAGAACCACATGTTATATTTCACAAGTCATTATTATTCAACTCATTATTGATTAGTATCCAACAGACTGAGTGTGAACTCAGTTTGTTATCCTTATTTTCTGTCGTGTGGTTATTGCGGTGAATTGTATTGCACAAAATTATCAATTCATTAGAGGAAGCATTACTTCAATAAAATAAACATTATGAATATTCAATTAGGTAGTAAGGTACAATTAAATGACATAAAAAGTAACACAGCATATTGTCTATTCTAAGAGATAAAGCTACATGTAGTGGAACTTAAAAATAATTTAAATATGCAAATTAATTTACTACATCAGTCACTTTGAATTATAATTTACATTAAAAAGATATGTTTGAACAACAACATTTAACATAGGCCGTTGACAGAGTATTTCCAACTAAATTTCAAAAAATACCGTCTAGAGGATGTAGTCTACTCAATTGATTCTATACACTAGCTTGAACATTCTCTCAAAGCTACAGCTGTCTTTTGAAATACTGGTCGATTTAAAAAGTCTGCGATTTGAGACAGCCGCAACTTTTAGGCTTTGAGAGAACACTTAGGCTGGTCTTTAGATTAAATTGAAGTAAGAAATATGTACATAGCTTGCACCGACTTTTATGTCTTTTGATAAATAACATAATGTTCTTTGGATTCGGTCTGCATAACCTGAGATTTTCTTGGCACAAGATAATTACCAGGCTTACTCAGTTACTTAAAGAAGGCAATGCAAAGATAATTTCCTGAAAAAAAAACAAAGAAATAAAACACATGCCTTCATACTATATTTTGTACCAGAAATTTTCAAAATATTTCCATATACATGTGCCTTTAACAGAATGTCAGTAAGTCATACGCTCAGAATGAATTATTGCTTATATTACTGTAACAGGATATTTCTAGGTCAACTTTTTTTGCCTTAGCTATGGTGGTTTTGATGACATCTAGTCTCAACAGTATATTTTCACGTACTAGTTAGCACAAAAAGTGTATGTATATAGTATCAAAGATACAATCTGATTGAATTAGTCTGAAAATATTGCTGGTAGTTTGAAGTAACCTTCCTCAATAATGTAGACAAAATGAGTGAAGTAATTTTGACTACCAGAAATTAGTGTACCTATTAACGGTTCACAATTCTTTAGAATGTATGAATAACTAGAATATTCAGTGGTTTATTCATAGTTTATGACTGAAATTAGATGCCCAAAATGTGGAACAGACATGACAGAAAATAATACTATGAACTTATAACAAATTTGACCAAATTGTCTAAAAGTCTAAAGAACAAGGAAGTAATTGCCAGATTGGAACCTATATATTGGTTCCAACATTGCAGTTTACATGTAGGTCACTGTCATATACACTGTTTTTTGTTTGGATCTAGTGTACTATATACTGCTTGTAGCTCTCAATTCAGAGTAAGGTCATGTGCCTACTAGTGTAATGTATCCTGATCTCTAGACAAGTTCACTAATTTGTTATATTGAGGTTGTAATAGTTTTATCCTGATATATTCAGATGACCTGTGTACTTTCTCAACAGACTAAATGATTATGAAAAGCAAAAAAAAAACTGAATATTTCATAATTAGTTAGTTGAACTCGCTACCATTGTTCACTTCACACAATCAAAATCAAAATGTAATGTTTCCATTGGTAACTACAATATTTTTTCATTATTTATTATTTCTTCAACATAAATTACACAATTCCGGGCTCAACGATGACGTCAGAAGGAATGACCATATATAGAACGTCGGTCAAATTTGGCCAACGAACACTGATTGGCGCGGTGAGTTCACAGGTTTATTTTAGTTTGAAAGAGTGAAGACGAAGCTCTCTTTTAAGAAGTGAAGTCAAACAAATGCAAAGGGTAACGATTCTGTTGTCCTCTGAGCTATTTTTTCGCAAACATGTACATTTTCAAAAACATATGATACTGATACACGTTTGTGAGAAAGAATGTCGTGGGGAATCTGCCTACAACGCGTGAAATAAGGAAAAAGAAAAATCATACCTTCGACGTTCCGACAAACCTTTTCGCTAACCAGTGTAATCAAGTGGATCCCCAGTATATAGGATGTATGATTTAAATTAGAAAATGTACTGATGTCACTTGAGAATGAAGATATTCTAATTCTCATTGTCTGAATTTAAAAATGTTTAAATAATATGCAGTAACTGTTTCAGAGAAAAATGTCATATTTGTTAATTTTAATGATTCTTCATGTTTTTGGGGAAATCATGTTTTACTGTTCCAGAAATGAAGAGGAGTTCTATGAAAGCCATGACACTGTAGAGAAAGTTATACCCTTAACAAGAGCATACCAAAGTTTTCCTTATCTTAGCATTAAGCATTATATAGGATCACAAATACATTGCAAATATGAAAGTCAGAAAAACCTGTATACAGCTAGCTGTAGCATACTTTGTTGGCTGGGATTAAATTTCGAAATAATAAACATGACCGAGATTTGGTGTCAGACAAGTCCATACACAAAATACTCCAGAAATACATGTACATTAACTGACTTATTACCGCCTTTTAAAAGACTGAAAGACACTCCACCCTTATACCCCTATAGAATACTCCCCCACAGACTACCACCACCACCACCCTATTATTAACCCCCCCCCCTTCATAATGCCTTTGCAAATACCCCCCCCCCCCCCAGAATATTCCATGGTCAATACCCCCCCCCAGAATTTTTTCGGTCTCCTACCTACCCAACACCCCCCCCCCCAGAATTTTTTGGTCTCCTACCCCCCCCCCCCAGAATTTTTCGGTCAACACCCCCCCCCCCCCCAGAATTTTGCATCCATACCCCACGTACATTTTTTAAATGGAATGGCCCAATTCAAAAAATAAAAAAATTCAAAAAATCCACAATTTCTTTAGGCTACATAAAGAAAATGGTCTACGAGCAAAAACATGCTGAACTTTTGACATGCCCATGTAATATTGACATTTGAATACGTTACCTTCTATCGATATCATCCAAGTAATGTATACATGTAATAAGAAAATAAGCAGGAAAAATAGATTTCCGTTCAAAAAGTTTCCGCCGTTTTAAATCTCGCGTGAATCTCTAGCGCATGGAGATTTGCGCAAAAATTCCCGGGAAAATATTAATCCTCTTACCTTCGGTTCAACTTCTGAGTGATGATTAAACTATTTGCTCTGCAGGATCAAAAGGCTTTCAATACGGTAAATTAATTGAACCAGAGAACACAGGATACGTCGGAGCTCAGGTTGGAGTGACTAGACACCACAGTTGAAACCATAGATCAGACTCGATCTTCAAACGAATACCTGTCAACAAACGATACAAAATGGCTAAAGTGATACACCAAGGTAGTTGCCACTGTGGTGCTGTACGGTTTAAAGTCAAAGCACCATCTGTGTTGAAAGTTATTGATTGCAACTGCAGTATTTGTGTCAAAAAGCAAAACCGTCACTTCATTGTTCCAGTGGCTGATTTTACTCTTCTTCAAGGTGAAGAAAATCTGACATGCTACACGTTTAATACTGGCAAAGCTAAGCATACTTTCTGCCGTATATGTGGAGTACAGAGTTTTTATACCCCAAGATCAAACCCTGATGGACGAGGCATTGCACCACACTGTTTGGACCAGTCAACCATTGAAGGCATTGAAGTTGAAACATTTGATGGTGAAAATTGGGAACAGTGCTTTGAAAATCACAAAGACATTCAACAACGTTCAAAAATGAACTAAGTGAAGTTTTGTTCTTTTATTGAGATACAATGGAATCTGTCTGCTGTTTGTGCCCTGGTATTTGTCTTTCCAGGAGATTTCGAATTCTCAAATCGAGATCTTTACTACCAAACCATACCAAAACATAAATGAATAATGCCTATTAACATGATGACATTCATATTCAACAGGAGCTTGTTTAATAGGACAGTAGTAACTTCTCCCATAAGATGAACCGTAAGAAAAAGCCGAAATGTAAAACATGTAACATCAGAGCATATGCTGCTAATAAATATAATGAGTATTATAAGAGCAAGTAAATATTCAGTTTGGATGAAATGATTTGATAAACTGTCTGGGGTGGGCCCCCGGGGGTGGGCCTTAAAGCTGGATGTAGGGATGTACATGTAGCTACTTATTTTGTATGAATGCTATTCTCTGTCATGATATGTTTTATTTGGCTAATTCCGAGACATACACTAGTCATTACTGAAAGGATATGAGAGAAGGTTTAAGTGGACTGTATGTACTGTAGTTAGAGAGGGAGTTAGTGTAGAAGGCCGAGATGTACATGTAGGAAAGTTTGATTTAAGGATTTAAGCACTGAACTCAGTGTAATTTGGAATGACCTTTCCTTGAAGTTGAAGATGTTGCTTTCCAATATTTGCAAGAGATACGTATAGCATAGAGTGTTTATCAGGAAACAACGCCTTTTCAGGAATGGACATTACACAATGCATTGAGTCTTGAGCTGAAATTCTTTCACACATTGCAAAATATAGTTTCTACAAAATCATCTAAAAGATGCAAAATCATTAATCTGTGTTCTGATTAGCTGGAATTGGACACACCTTGCTTAGCTAGCCTATGTGAATAATTTGTAATAAATAGAACCCTGAAAAGATTTCTCGACATATACAACTATTTTTTGATGTCAGGATATTTTTCAATTTATCCATGCAGCTTATCAAGGTCCACAACTTACAGTGTGGACCCCCGGGTGTGGAGCTCGATAACATGCAGCTAGACACTAGGCCTACTACATGTACAGGTACTACACTTGCCCCGGTACTCTTGTTCCACAAGACCATGACACTTGTGCAGAAATATTTACTTCTGCATTTCCTCTACTTTTCTGGTAATAATGGTGTCTTCCATGTGACCGTGTCCCGGACTGCGTCTTCATATTCAGCGGAGTTTTCTACGCCCATGCTATGCCGTCAGAAATGGGCGTGTCGGTTTGTGAAGTTTTCAACTCGCGCGTATTATACAGTTCAAAGGTCAACAAAATGGCGATTGTGATTTCAAAACATTAAAATTTGTTTCGAAATAAACTACCCTACTAAAATGAGAAATAGCAACGGAAAAACAGATCAAAGAAAACGAAGAGTATATTGTCAAATTTTCCACTGGCAAGATTTTGGTGGATTCCCTTGCAATGCGGAAGCAAGAGAGTCCAAGCAGTTCGTTCGTAAACCTGAACGATGATTCGATTTTGACAATTTTGTCATTTTGTGATCCCATTTCTATTGGACGTCTAGCCAGGTCATGTCGACGTTTAAGGGATTTGTGTGGACGGGAATGTGTTTGGAAGGTTTTGGCGAATAGGATGACAACAGTGCACAGCTGTATCGAAGAAACAAGGTACAGTAGATCGGGCACTACTGCAGCGTAGATCTAGTATGCAACAGACCGAATATAATATTCGGTCTGAATACTGGATACAGCCTAACAGTAGATCTACACTTTCCCATTTCCAATACCATGTTTCTATTCTTTAGAGCCTTCAATAGAACCTCACGTTTTATTTTAAAAGTTGAAAAATCTTGGCGCTAGCCACACATATGTTTCTTACATCAATCATACACTACCCTAAACGTTCTCTCAAGCAAAAAGTTGCGCCAGTCTCAAGTCAACTTGTACATGTACTGCATATACACTTCAATCTTTGAATCAGCCAGTATTTCAAAATATCCACCATCAGCTGCCATGAAAATTTTATCGGGCGTACCTTTCTACATCTCTTCATTCCAGGAACATTATCCTTACAAGCTTGGAAAATCATCAGTTCGCTCAACAAATATGAAATCAAGTCAAGCATCATCAATAAATTGTGTATTTGAATGACTTCACTAAGAATTACTGTTCCAATTGATGTGTTAGGTAAAATGCAAGTAAATTCCTGGGGTGCCAAAGCTGAATGTACATTATACCACATTCATCATGATTCATTGATATATTACTACACAAGTTAAAATAGTCCATTAATCAGAAGTGACGTCAATATGATCCTTGGGTTCACAGCAGACATTTTGTAATTCTGGCCAATTTAAAGATTAAAGTATATACAATTTGAGACTTTAGAGAACGTTTAGGCTAGTGTTTAGAATCGATTGAATTAAGAAATATATGTATACTGCATTGCTTAAAGAGCTCTGATATTTTTCGACTTTTAAAATATAACGTGTGAAAAAATCAAGTTTGAGTTCCCTTACCTTAGTGCTGAATGTTGATCTGCATAATGTAAGATCATGGTGGCAGACATGATGTGTACGACTGTACACATATCTCCCAAAGAACCCTGAAGTCCATCTTTTGCAAGTCTGTACATGCTTAATTAATATTTGATTTTCTGATTCAGCTCATCTTATTCTAAGAGGGAAGTATGTCGAGTTGGGAAGAACTGGGAAGAAAGTAATTACACAAATAAATGTGTGATAAGACACAAGCCCAGGTAAGTAAACATTGAATTGTTCTTGTGTATGACATTGTCAGTTCACACCCATGCTCAATCACTACGTTCTGAGTACAGGTCTGAAGCTTGATGAAGCAAGACAATGTATGAATAATGACGTTAACTGTAATGTTCATGTACATGTACAGCAAATAAATCCTTTCAATACTGTACAAGTATTGAAGACAGTAAGTTTTGATGCAATTTAATTTTTTGAATTTTTACCTTTCATGATTTAATTTTGTGATTTGTATCAATTTTTACAATTTGATTTGGGAATTTTCTATTTTACAGAAGATATTTAGATTTTGCCTTTCTGTGAAAAATTGAATGTAAAAAAGTCAATTTACACAATTGTTATGTCACAACCAATAAGTGATGCCATATTGTTAAAAGCCTCACTTTTTGTGACTGACATTCAGAAACACATTGTAAATGCATCATATCATGGTAATCCCCTGCATTAAAGCAAGTGGGTGCAGCACCCACCTGAGATTGCATTTGCATCCTCTTGAATATGTGAAAAATGGCATATTTTGACCAATTTCTGTCTTGAATTGTGAAAATTAGCCCTCACTTGAGAAAAAATCCTGTGGAGAACTCTGTATTAATTTTTATGAAACAGCTCAGGTTTTTCACCAATTTGAACAAAAATTGCAAATTCTGAACCCCCCTGGATTTTTTTAGAAATTAAACTCCCTTGGCAAAAGCTGGCTAATGGTGCTACAGCTCAGCTTATACACTAGGAAGAAAGATTTACAAAATGCAAATGTAAACATAGCATGTAACAATTACTAAATTTTATTTAGACAGATGCCATGCTTACAAATAGATGAGAGACATCTATGGGCATCCCAAAACAACATAATCAAGTGCTTTAAGAGATTAAAAGATGGCAGTCTTCATCGAAGTACAGACGTAACTTTGTACAACCAAATGGGTGATATCTGCAAATTTGTATATAAGGACAACCGCATAGTCAGCGGTGCTAGGTAAATTACCCTCTTTTTTATAAAAATAAGGAATATGTTTCATTTATTTTACTTTCAAAGTAATACTAATATCTATAAAAATATGGAGTGACTCAGCTTAACTATGAAAAAACTTTCAGGGATGGTAGTGTTGCATGCTGGGATAGATCCACAGGATCAAGTCTCTTCTCTAACCGAGAGCAGCACCAGAGTGACGTCAATGGCATAGATATAGTTGACAATGTCATAGTATCAGGGTCACGTGACTCCACTGTCAAGGTAAAACAAAAGTACTATTTGCTGAGCTTGAGATAGGTCAGATTGTTGGAAAGTAAATGATGTTTGATCGTTTTTGGTAATATTTCTATTGTAAAATCTGTGTTTATCATTATCCTAAATACTATAACTGCTTAATGATAATTGATCCTTTCTGAAAATATAATTATACAGTAAAACCTGTCTAAGTGGAACACCTTGGGTACCTCTAAAAAGTGTTCCATTCCACTTGGGAGGTGTTCCACTTATACTATAGAGGTTCATTCAACATTAAGTAGCCAGCTAGTTAAGAGGTGTTCCACTGAACAGAGGCCTCATTATCATCTGGTCGTAACGCAAAATCGCATGCGAATCGCATCGCAAGACATCGCAACGCAACTATTTCCCAAAAATCTTATTATCATTCCATCGCATCGCAAGTCTGACGCAAAGTTATCGATTTTCTGATCGCAACTAAACAAAAAGTTGCGACGACGTTTACCCTGTCGCAAATCAAATCGCAAATCTAGTTCATCTTTGAGCGTTATTTTATCTATGTTAATGGATATTTTGTGGTGTTTTATATCGGTCATTTCACTACCTGTTAAGTATTAATCAATAGTATCGAAGAAATTGTTCAATTTTATTTATTTAATATGATTAAAATATACATTTAATTGAGCCTGTAAATCCTTAAAAATCACGTTTGTTTCTAAATATTGCGAACGCATCACATACTGTATACGTCTTAGATTGGTGCCTGCAATATTTCGTGCTCTTTAGAGCATAGGATTTTCGCCAATTAAATATTTATCTAGCTAATAAAGCTTGTTTGGTGAATTAATCTTGCCACTACTACACTAATGTTCTGAGTATTCCTAGTGTATATGTACCTCACCTACATCGTCTGCAAAAGTACAAGAACACCAAGATGTTTCATTTCATTCTGGATCACCACAATCGTATTGGCCGAAGAGTATTTCGAGATTTAACCCACTCGATTCACTAAATGACATATGTGGTATCTTTGTACAGTATTTGAGGTGCTCGTTTTTCTGAATGATCTCTACAATGTTCCCAGATATAAATTAAATATTAAAGACATTTTATTTGATCGAGTTTGAATATGAATAGAAACGTTGTTAATTCTACATAATAGAATAAATGCATAATGCATATCACTGCAAATTATAAAAGGATATCAATTGCAGTGTGCACACCGACATCATTGGTGCGATCTAAGTTGTTAAATTTAATAGTTTAAAAATGAAAAAGCACGATTTCCTTTTTTACATAGACATGTACTCTGCATCTGTTGTTCAAGCATCACCCATCGCATTGAAGTTGACTCGTCGGAAAGAGTTAGATTTTCAATTTGAAATGAGAGTTCGTCTCAAAATTGTAGATTTTCACATTTTCATCCCGACCCTGATTCAAACATGATTTGCTTTGATCACAATGCAAAAGACGTGTTTCATATTTTGTTCCAAAGGAAAATAAATGCAATACACTGGAGAAATATTTAAACATATATCGATATGGAACCCACAACTTGCAATTTTCTTGCATGTGAAATATGAAATGTAAAATATACACCACCAAATAGAAAACTCATTAGCTGTTATCGTTTCATTGTCTGTTGAAAAATTATGTTGACGGATTTTAGATAGAAGCATTGTAGAACACATACAACAACGACCAAAAGTTCATTTTATTTCAGTTAGTTTCAGTAACGTGACAACTTCCCGTTTTAACAGTTATTTATTTTCAGTGATGTGTGACTTACATAACGTTTTTTCTAGTCCTCATTTCCACACCAAGTGAACTTATTTTTTCAGCTACCCTTGCCTTATAACCCTTGCCCAGCAACTATCCTGTGACTGTATTGTTATTTGACAGCTAAGTGGTGCCAAAAGAATATTTGCATCCTTCTCAATGAGAGATACTAATAATTCTTGTTCATCATTTGTCCAATTCCTTGCCCTCGACATGTTTCTTCGACTACCGTCTGTTCAATGTAAATCGATTTGCATTTTGGCGCACTTATGTCTTGCACAAGTGTAATGCATGCGCAACCAATCAAATCATATCAATTATTGGATTTCTATCAATTTCAATCAATCAATGTCAAAAACTAGCGCCAGTGTCCTTTTAAATTTCGCGCCAAAATACACTCTAGCCTTGCGATCGCAACTTACGTTTTAATTGTTTTGCGATTACTTTGCGTCTGCGATTGCGCTCAATTGATAATATCACGCATCGCATGCGTTACGAATTGCGATCGCAATCGCATCGCAGACGCAACGCAACTATTTGCGACCAGATGATAATGAGGCCTCTAGTCTCACTGTATTGTGCACAAAATGCATCGTGGATTATTATTCATCTTTCAAAGTAGCTTTGTTTCCATATAAAGTATCAAGAGCCTGAGAGCAAGTTTGACAAGTATAAGGTGAATGAAAAAGCAACACATTATTAATAATATGTATAAGTAATTTTCTATTTAATTTTCTATTTAGATATCTCGCCTTGATAATGCTGGGGACAATTGGCAGACAAGCATTAATCTTGGAGAGAGAGTCTGGTCACTAGCCATAAGTCCTGATAAACAGTAAGTTATTGCATTGTCTATATGAAAATGGCAGAATAAGTTTTGAAGGTCAGAGGAAATTTAGATTTGGCACAAATACGAATACATTTGCCTGATCTACAGTATTATAATTTTATACAATGTACTCGTGAATGCTAGCCTTAAAAGTCATTGGTGCTTGGCAGCATACAGGGTGGTCCAAAAAAGTGAACCCCTGCAACAGGCTATATTTTCCTTAATACTTGCATGAATAGACTCATATTATCACATGTTGGAGAGAAAGGTCTAAAATTTTGGTTGATGCCATAATCTAATCTCAGTTTTAAATTTTAAAGAAATTACAAGAGTTTAGCAAACATGCCTAAAAATGAGATATTGTGCAAAACTTTACCAATGTGATTCACAGAAATTGTTGACACACATTGGATGATCTTAAACAGCTTTCAGTTAGAGATACAAGTTTAAAACCCTACCATATGACAAAAGGGGCACTATTAAAGCAGAAAACACATTTCACACTTTCATTGATCATTTTGAAGCAGTTTAAACCATTTAACAGTTCAGGAGTATGTTACCTACACAAACAGTTAGAGGAGGGCCTTTTGTGGAAGGAAGTTGCCCCCTGTGACCAGGAATCTGAGAAGCCCTTCATCAAATATCTTTAGAAAATCAAAAGAAAATCCAATATTCAATGTTTTGAGCCATATTTCATTAGAATCGATCAATGATTTATGAAGATATTGACATTTCAAGATCATATAGGGTTATGTTCGCGATTTCACTGGAAAATGTTATCGCCTATGGAAGCTTAGAACATTTCTTTGGATCACAAGAACTTTGCAACTAACAAAGGTAGGATGCTAGTTTTAAGCCATAATGTGCGGGATTCAAGATTGAACAAAGTAAGAAAATATTAGTTCTTTAAGACTGCAGCTTAAAAATGTCAGGGGAAGGGTGTTGAAGGGTTGAAGAATCGCGGATATTGAAAATCACATTTTCAGTAATATTTGGTTAGGGCTTATAATTTTTGCAAATTTCAAGACTAAGAAAAATGTATGGTGCCAACATAAATTTTAGACCTTCCTCTACAACATGCAAACATATAAAAGAATTCCTGCAAGTAATAAGGGAAATATGGCCCGTTGCAGGGGTTCACTTTCTTTTGGACCACCCTGTACTATTTAATTATATCATTTCGAATTGTTAGGAATGCTAGTTATGAATTTAAACTGAGCTAAACATTTGACTGAAGCGTTTTCCCTTCTCCCAAAATTGTTAGAACAAAAATCAATATAAAACATGACTGTCTCTGTGACTATTTTCATATTTTTCTTTTTAAATGCTTCAACTGAGTTTTACCTGTACATATATGTATTTCAGGTCATTTGCTAGTGGCACATCAGGAGTGTCTGACCAATCTCCTCAACCACTCAAGATCTGGGACTTAAACTCAGGGACATTTTTACATAATTTAGGCTCAAATTTCCGTCGAGGAGCTGGAGTCCTTGATATACAATATGAAACCCCACATATTCTGTTAACATGTGGATATGATACAAATATACGTCTTTGGGACCTAAGGACTCGTGGTCTGTAAGTATTGATCTTCAGCTTCTCACATTTGGATTTATTGTAACATCTGTTTCATTTTGATATCATACTCATTTTGCAATCGCATATGCAAACTCCAATATAGACTCAAGCTCAGGCATACTCAAAATTATGTTCAGAATATTTCAGGCTTATTTCCTTGTCTGAATGATTAGATATTAAATTCCTTCCAGGGCGATGACTTGGGAAGAGTCCTATGATGCAGCAGTGTATTGTATTAAATCAGACCATCATAATAGCATAGTCAGTGGTACTGCCTTATATGGAGTGGTACGTCTTTGGGATAAACGGGCAACAAAACCTGTTCAAGTAAGAAACATACTGTATCTGTAATGTCAGCATACTTATCTTATTAGTTTAAAAAATATTGATGCTATCTTTCTATATCATATCCTCTCTGTTTTGGGGCAAACATGAGAATAATGAATGCAAATTTCCTTTCAACAAAACTAAGGTACATGTACAATGAACAAGTAATGTCAGTGGAAGATGGTTAGCATAGTGCTAATGTGGAATATTCTGTTATTGTACCCAATTTTGACCATAAGATAGATTGCATCCACCTGAAAATGTACAATGTAATTTAAAATAAGTAAAGAAAGGTCATGAGATTAGCATGTGTGATCTAAAAAATTCTGGAGAATGTTGTTTGGTAAACGAACTTGCTCCGATACTTGAGAGATCTCCAATTAATTTTTTTAAAACTTTTTGCACTTCTATTTTTGGTGAAAACATGTTGTTCATTGATCTTCATTTAATCTTTAATACTATCTTGTATCTTTTCAGTTGTATTACAGTGGACAGCGCAGCTCTAGTAGCCCAGTGTATTCCCTAGTGTTTGATACAAAGCATTTATATGTAGCCCTGGACAGAGGTGTGCACTTGCTGAACTTTGGGATAGAGTAACAACTTTGACCCCACAAGTATAGGATGTACTGCAACATTCACTGAACTTTGGAACCAAATGTAGGATGTGGTGCAACTCTTACTGAACTTTGGATTAAAACAAAGGATGTGCTGTAACATTATCTGAACTTTGGGACCAAGTATAGGATGGATTATCCCCTGTTTGGAATTAAGTCGATGTAATACATATAGCCCTGGACAAGTTGTGATTCAACACATCTTGCTGCATTTTAAAATCTTTTAATAGATGGGGTTGTTGTATTTTGTAATTGTGACCTAGACTGTGATTCAGTACTTCTAAGTACTTCTTGTTAACAGAGTTTTTAAATTGTAGAAGTATCAGTGCTTATTTAAGGAAGTTGTACACTGGAAAAATATGGCTCTGTGCTATACAACCTGTACAATGAGAGCATTGCCTTCATCTAACATTCAGTTTTATGATAATTTATGATTTGGCTCTTGTGAAAAATGTGAGAAAAATGTGATAAATGCACAATTTTGATGGGTTAGGTAATATCCTTACTTACCCTGGCCTTTCAGTGACTATGTTGGAAAAAAGTTTGATATCATACCATAGGATATTCTTTATTTCTTCATTTTTCATATATCTTTGTAATTTTAGTGAAGGAGTACATGTACATGTAAGACACATTTGTCAACTACCTTCCTCAATATTTCATGATTGGAGGGAGGGTTCACAGGTCATGCTGGAATCATGTAATAAGACATTCACACAGTTAATGGTGAACCAATATAAATGTACATGTAAGACAATGCACTTGTCAACTACGTTCCTCAATATTTCATGATTGGAGGGAGGGTTCACAGGTCATGCTGGAATCATGTAATAAGACATTCACACAGTTTATAGTGAACCAATATAAATGTACCTGTAAGACATACTTGTCAACTACTTTCCTCAATATTTCATGATTGGAGAGAGGGTTCACAGGTCATGCTGGAATCATGTAATAAGACATTCACACAGTTAATAGTGAACCAATATAAATGTACATGTAAGACACATTTGTCAACTACCTTCCTCAATATTTCATGATTGGAGGGAGGGTTCACAGGTCATGCTGGAATCATGTAATAAGACATTCAATCACACAGTTTATAGTGAACCAATATAAATGTACCTGTAAGACATAATTGTCAACTACTTTCCTCAATATTTCATGATTGGAGAGAGGGTTCACAGGTCATGCTGGAATCATGTAATAAGACATTCACACAGTTAATAGTGAACCAATATAAATGTACATGTAAGACACACTTGTCAACTACTTTCCTCAATATTTCATGATTGGTCACAGGTCATGCTGGAATCATGTAATAAGACATTCACACAGTTAATAGTCAACTACTTTCCTCAATATTTCATGATTGGAGGGAGGGGTCACAGGTCATGCTGGAATCATGTAATAAGACATTCACACAGTTAATGGTGAACCAATATAAATGTACATGTACACTGTGATAAATTGTATTTATTTTGCGTAAACTAGTGTAAACTGTTGCTCCTATATCACAATGTGATGCACAAAAAAGTAAAGAACAGATGTTAGAATTGTTCAGCATTTGCATTTGTTAATGCTAAATATTTGTTTACACTTATCAATTTGAATTGTGAAGTTGTATTATATATTTCTTCAAGCTAAGTTATGAAATAAAAAAGTCTATGATATTGTTTTAATATCCATGGTTCTGTGTGTATTTGATATACACCATTGAGAATTTCTGTTGGCTTGAATCTAGAATTCTTTATCCTAGGTTGAATTTACAAATATACAAATAACTATCATAATGATGTCCATGAAAAGAAAGTACAGTAAAATCTGATTACTGAACATTTTTTGCCAGGAAAAAATGTTCAGTGTTGGTATGCCTTCAATACAGAGATGGTAACGTAATTTTTACAGAAGTTAGTGGAGTATGTGCGAAGGAAGGGTGTCCACTAGAGACAGGTTCACTGTCTAATTCAAAGCCCATTGTTTCATAGGGCATCTCCTACCTTAGTTTTCTAGATTTACCCCGAGACGAACATAAAATATTGGCCCATTGACTCCATGTAATGAACCTCTGTAAGTGGAACACCTCGCAAGTGGAACACTTTGTGGTCCCAACTTCGAAGGTGTTCCACTTATACTGTCAGATTTACCCAAAGAGCTACTTTACCTCTAAATATTTCCTCGAGCATCAAATGTGCTAATCAACATGAACCTTTTAGAGAGCTCTATTCACTAGATAGTTCTACACATTATGGTCACTAACAGTAGACTAGTCACTAGACATTACTCACTTCGAGAGCCATGTTAGATTTTGAAACGTATGGCTATTATATCAAAATCCAAATAGCTTTCGCAGGAAGTAAACTAGACACACCTTCAAAAGCGAAAGTGAAACTACTAGGGAAATTAATGACGTCATCAATCGATGTTCAGAACGAGGCCGTAATACCCGGAAGTAAAATTGTGAAATATTGGATCTGTCAAGTTTTCTTATTTATTCGTATTCGGGTATGTATCTCGTGTCTCTGGGTACCTTTAGGGATTAGTTGCGTAGAGTGAACTGTAAAGTGTTTTAGACTGACGTGTCATTTGTTTATAATGCGCCTATCATTGGGAAACGGAGATATCAACCAGCTACATTTTTGATTTGCGATAATTTTTTTAGAATCAAATCAGATTTTCATTATTTCCATTACAAATATCTACCCTAGTTCTAATACTCTTTTCTGCAATATTTTACACCAATAAACTGTAGTTCTGTCCAAATGATTCTGTCAACAGTCAAAGGCAACATGTAAGAGAATATGAGGGGGGGGGCTGTAGATATATGAGATGACATCATCAATGACACCATAAATGATGTCATCATCAAGAATATTAATGACCAATCTGTGACCATAAAGCTTTTGTGGCATTTATTTGATAAGCCTTTATTACTTTACAGTTCTGCCATAGTGATGTCTTGGTATCCAAAGTCGTCACACACCCCTCCCCCAGAAGATATGATCTACATGGATAAACTTAGTGAGATACTCACCCCAATGACAAGGGGATTATCCCGAAAAGGCCCAGCAAAGATTCTACCTCATTTATACTTAGGAAACTATGACAATGCCTTGGATGTAGACAATTTGCACAAACTTGGAATAACACATGTGTTGAACACTGCTGAGGGCTATACATCAACAGGTCCTGCTTTTTACGCTCCTAAAATTGAATACAAAGGATTCGCTGGAGAAGACGATCATCAATATGACATTTTTCAACATTTTGATATGACTCGGAAATTTATTGATGAAGCCAAAGCATCTGGAGGAATTTGTCTCATTCATTGTTTGATGGGGATTAACAGAAGTGGGGCTCTTGCAGTAGGTTATTATATGCTGGAGACCAAAACGCCACTTATTGAGGCAGTACGAAGTGTTAAAAGTCATCGAGCTATACTGTTAGTTAATCAGGGATTCCAGGAACAATTGATAAAGTTTGCTAGGAAGCATCACATGCTGGAGTCTATTGATGAAGAACCCACCCCTGACCCACCTCGCCTTTGAACTATTGAAGGAAACTGAGCACGACTGCACCCCACTGGAGAATGGAGAATCTAAACTATAACCATGCACCATGTCGAAAGTTCATATACAGCCAGTTGAGAATTTAAAAAATCATGAAAAATATGGATTATTATAACAATTAGAACACTTTCTTGAACCAGAATAGGTAAATTGAGTTTGCATTCAGTGGAGAAAAAATCATGGACTAGGCCTATTTAGTTTTTGGAATGAAAATCTACTATGGCTAGAATATGAGCCAGTTATACATGTACATAAAATGACAAGTATGCTTAATTTTGTTACAAGCATGTAATACCATATGAAGGGGTTTTATTAGCAACAGTAACAGGCGATTTTCACAAAATCACCTGTTGTTTTCAGGGACTTTTCAACTTCCCCATGTTAAATTTATGATTTCCATTATAGTCTATTAATTTTGCCTGTTATTCTCATTTATTTAGCCTGTTGTGAGAAATTCTAGTGAAACCCCTGCATATGAATTAATATTTTGCATATACTGCTGCAAATGATAAGGCATTTTAAGAGAGAGAGCATGGATGTAGTCAGCCAGGCATAAGGCAGGCAAGAGAGGGGCTTCCCAATTTACACAACAATTAATGCAAATAATTTTTTCTGAAAATAAAGTCAAATTGAAGAAATAGAAATAGAAATTTTTGCCTCACTTTTCAAATTTGCCTGAACTAATTTGAGATCTTAGCTATGACCCTGTAAAGTTGATCCACCAGGTCAAAAAGTTGACTTTGGAATGAAATGATCAATCATTCAATGCATATGATATTGGCTGTTAGCTGGGTATTTTGAAATCATGTCATTGTCCAACCAAAGCTGAAACATCTTCCCCTTGTCTGGAATAAATCTAGTCTTGCTTAAACAATAAATTATTTTATAACATACCTATGATGATGTATAGTGCAAAGTGTACACAAGACAGCGGGCCAATATAAGTTTTGAAAAGCCCGCGCCCGCTAACTTTCTGATTGGTCGAGGCGCTGACGTCATAACCAATCAATCATTTTCAAACCATTTGTTTGTCAATTCTATAAGAAAACGGTACTCTCTGACCAGTCTTCATCATCATAGGTATGTTATAAATCGTTTATGTCACTATCGTGGCACATATGCCACAGAGAAAGACGTTTGAAAGATGTTCATCATAAGGCTTTTAGCATTTAGTTATCATTACATTAGTGTTTTATAATTTTAAAGAGTTAAACCATGAAAGTGTGAGTGATAAAATGCAATATTTTGATATATTTACTCATGTGTAGCAATATTATTAAAATCAATATCATGTAATGTTTCATGAAGAAGGAAAGCGGACTGCCACTGTATGAATAGATATCTAAATCATTTCTATGTCACCAGCAGAAGTCAATTGCAAGTTGTGACAAATTGTTACAGTCTCCAACTTTTTTTTGAGGACAGTGTTAGTTGTTTTGCATCTGTAACAAATGACAGGTGATGACATTATGCATGTTAATGCCTTGTTTATGTTATGTTTACCTGTTTACTGTATGCTTATTGTACAGCTACCTGTAGTCCCTGCATTTCATGACGTATTATTTGTCATAGTTCAGTCTTGAGGCAGATGATTCATTTTTTATTTTTGTGTTTTGTGATGCAAATTAACAAGTTTGCATGTTATGTGCTATTTCAAGGAGTTCAATAATAAGTAATTTATTCCACACTGTGATTAGTCTAGAATTTTTGATTTTAATGTTATTATACTATTGTATATCACATGTATATATTATGCAGTTACATGTATTTATTCCTGCTGGATGTACAGTACTTACCACTTACAGATCACGTACATGTACTTGGCGCAAAGGCATGAGTACAATAAATAATATATTACTTTACTTCTTCTGTATTCGTTAATTTGTGGCCCATTTCGATAATCTTGATAGTAGCCATAATACATTGTGACCGACAAGTGGCGGATCCGGGGGGGGGGGGGGGGGGGGGCTTTAGTAGTGGGCCCAGAACTTTTCTTAGCTTTAGGGCCCAATAAGGTTTGTATTTACATATACAGATAGATACCCGTTCAATTTGAAACTTAACTGTAGCCTGTATCTATTTTAAGAAATATAGGCCACAGTATAGGGGGCGGGGGGTATGTTAGGTGTTCATATGATCATAATTCAGTCATGGAATTCAGACATATTACAGACAGATTGTAATGCAATATAATTACCAAGAATGACTTACATGTAAGATTTTGACTAGAGCTTGCAGCATGTAATACTATATGAGATTAAAAAAATGAAGGTGATATCTGTAGCGGTTTTTGAAAAAAACAGACAGAGGGACAGACGGACAGACAGACGGCGGGACGGACGGAAAGATGGAGTCGTTCACAAAGTATGTTACCTCCCATCTTAAATATTTGTCATGATGTTACACATCGAGTCATGTAAATGATGAATAGGGCTGAAGATGTATTGATGGCGTGGGAAGTAAGGAAGCCATATTCATATGCACTTATCATGTTATCAATTAATACATGACATTTCTCTTATTAATACAAGTTGTGCAGAATTAATGGATCGTGTAATACAGCAATTGATATTGCAAAATACTGGTATTTAATGAGCAATTTTATCTAATGAGTTGTTTTAAGGGAGCATCAGTTATAAAACGTTTCCTGTTACAGTAGACACCCCTATTCTATTTTACAGTCAAACCTGTCCGAATGAACACTTCGGAAGTAACAGCTGTCTACGAGGGGGGATTCATAAGTAGTGGGACAAATGCTATAACTTCACTTATATCAACCAGATTTTATTCAAACTTGGAACACAGAACCACAAACATGTTATAATCATTGTGTGAAAATTTCAAAAAGTTCCACCCAACTTCAGTAAAGTGAGAGTTCCAATAATGACGTCACAACAGGATCCACGGAGCACATTGTTTGTCTTTAATTGCTAGTTAAATATACAAGTCTCAACTGATATTCAGAGCGTGATCTAATCTGTGACTTCTAGGGAGTCCTTTTGTGGAGCACATCAATTCTGTGCAAGACTATTGATTCCTTATCCTTCTGGTGCAATCTCACTCTTTCTCAAAGTATTCGCCATGACAATCAATGCATTTTTGGCATCTCCTCAATCATTCATAGGTATGCACCCTAAAAACCATATTTTCCAAGATTGGTCATCTCAGCTCTCACAGCATATTCAGAATACATATACAAAATACCACCTATATACTGTAGATTTTTTTTACTTCTTCTTTCCCATAGACTTCCAACCAACCACTATAGGTCTCTAACACTAAAAACTTCTTCAAAGCATTAAATTTAATCACAGCACGGATGTTTATACGTGATTCTTGCTTTTTCATTGCTATTTTAATCAAATTTTGCTCCATCCAAGAAAAACTGAAAATGGCAGTGTCCTGGTGTCACTGCTTTGTGTGATATCACAATAGCATGGTGATGTAATATATGTTACAGTTGTCATGACTACAAGGCTTGGGACAATATGACACCAAATATTTGAAAATAACTGTCATTTTGAGATATTTATGAGCATATTTATGTCGATCAAGCCCTTCATTTTTTAACTGCTCCGTTAACCCCTACTTTTGGTTACCATAGCAACCGTTGTTGCTAGGAAACAAAATGAATTACATTGAAATTTCACCAAACAATACCTTATATCCTAGTCGGTTCATGTGCCAAATTTGGTTGAGATATGTACACAGGAACTTGCTGCCTCAGAAAAGTCCCACTACTTATGAATCCCCCCTCGTACATAGAACACACTAACCGGATGGCACTCCATATTATGACATGTTTTACTGTAGTTATGTTCTTAAAATCCATGTTCACTTTCTGAGGAATTAGGCTATACTATTGATCAGTTAAATGATAGGCTACGTAAATCAGTTAATGAAACAAGCAACTTAAATGAGCACAATATTTGGGGTCATCGAATAGAAGTACAACAAATTGCTTTCCGGAATTCATCACATCTTTCTCTTGAACATGAGAAGACTTTATATGTCATCTTGCTTCCTAAATTGATGATATACGAGGGGTTATAATAAAGTTCTAATAATATCTGTCTAATTTCTTTATTTTTCAACATATTGTATAACACTTAAAACTGATACAGATTCTGTCGGGTTCGATTTTAATATGAGGATTCATTTGTAGTTCATTTGTTACGTGAATTGATGCATAAATAGGAGGATGTTTCAGTTAGGAATCATAAATACGAAATGAGATGTCGCGGATTATCATGATGAAAGCATGAAATGAATGGGCCTTTTTGGGCGTTTTGATGTCATTTTCATTAGACTTAATTTGACCGAATACAGAACTATTTTTGAGGAATGTACTTCAATTGTAGATGTTATCAGAGAGATGTTTGACACAAAAAACGAATCTACGTTTTGCCATACTTTCACTAAACAGTAGTCTGTTTTACGAAAAGTCAACGTTTATTTCTTTTTTATACCATTTGGTACATAACAACATCAAACAACACTCACGTATAGAAATTTTCACATCATCTTATGTACCACATGCCTTATGGCATTTGATTACATGGTACATGTTCTTAATATTGACCCTGTCACCAGGTTAAAACTATTCAAAATATCACTGGTCAGTAAGCAAGAGAGCAGTTACTCTCATATTCAAGATGGCGGATGGTACATGTAGGTGCCGATTTCGATGGCAACTGTAGTTACTTTCTCTTGATACTGGTCAGTGAAATATATTCACGAATCAAACCGACACCACGTTTAGACATCTAGAAGCGTAGTTAGGCATGGCGAACTATTTTACGAAAATATATCATTTACACTTTTTCTCATTCTGGAACTGTAGAAAAGAAGTCGAATGGTAGAATTGTAACCGTTTGGTGCTTATTTCCCTTTTATTTTAAAAATCCTGGCTACAGTTCTGTTAGCAATAACTAAAACTAATCTACAGACTTAACGTTTATCCCAACACCAGTTACACCAGTGGAGACAGGCTCAACTACAACAATCAACATACGGACGTATTGGTGGACGTATTATAAAGTACAGTTTTGCATCAAATCTCGCGTAACTACCCCTCTTGCATATATGTATGTAGTAAGGGGATCGCATCAAAAGAAATGGATGTTCAACTCATACAATTGTTTTATGTTTGGCAAAATAAGGCACGCGTTTCATAATCTCTCTATATACGGTCACATAAAACATGTTCAAGTTCATATACTCCCTGTTCCTTGGAAAAGCAACTTGATTCGAGGGTGACCTGATCTAGGCCTAAGTGATATTTGAACGATTTTGATACTATGGTTCAGCGAAACGTATGAATGATGATTTCTATATATACTTGATTGTTATGATCTGATGAGGGGAAATTAGACTAGAAGTAGGTCCATTTATAATTCATCATGATCGTCATCATCGTCGTCATCATCATCATCGTCGTCGTCATCGCCATCATCCCCTGCCATCATATTTAGGGCATCATCTCCCCCTCCCACATTAATTTTCAGTCCAGTGCCTTCTAGTTTATGAGCATGTTTGTTAATAGCCTCCTGAATCTTTTTCATAACGTCTGCAGTTGCAGGGTCCATTGCAGGATCAGCCTTTTTGGGTTTAGTACCCTTGGCTTTAGGGTCAACTATTTTAGGCGGCTTTTCTGGAGTCTTTTTGGGAGTTTTATCCTTTTTGTCCTTTTGGGTAAGTGTAGCATCACATACTATACTGCATACTGGAAAACAATATTACACGTAATACAAATGATAATATATGTTGAGATAATTACACGATTTCTTATCATCACAAAAAGTTCGGGCCACTGGAAAGTTCAAATATAAAAATTGCATTTAGTTCGTTCAAAATGTCAGTGTGACATTTTGAATAACGGCATCAATAAAACATGGCAAATGACGTTTCTCACAAAGAGGTCACAAAATCAGATAAATCTGTTATCATGTAAATCGGGTAAAACCTGGCAAAATTTCGTAGTCAATTGTCTCGTCGGATGTAGTTCAGGAAAGAAAGTACGTACCCACTATGGTAACCACCAAGCATACCAATATCCGTGTCTTCATCCTTGTACGTGTTCCCACTTTTTGTGAATCCTTTATATTGATATTTTCTCCGTCCTTGTGATCTTCCTCTGAATGAACAGAATAAAACACAGTTTGATAAATGACTATGTAATTGAAGACGATTCCGTGCATTCATATTGATAGATGCATAGATTGCAATTTGTAATGGCTGGATATTTACTTTTGTAATTGTCTATGATTTATGCTGCAGTAACAAATAATACTATTAAAGGGAACATCAGAGATAGCAAGGATATTTTGTCTCAATATCACAAATAAATGATCAAACAAACAAACAAAAACAAACAAACAACCAAAAGACATACAAATTAAAGAACAAGCAAACAAACAAAACACATATGCATGACCATGGAAGGATCGAGGTAGATGAAACTAAACATATGGCTTTTATTTGGATCAATTTGTTCATCATTGATTATATTAACTTAAAGCAGATATACAAGTGTTTGATACAGACGAATAGGCAATAAAACAATATGCAATTATAATTAATTGATGCATGAATAAATCTTCCTGCAATTGAATGGAGGGTGTCCCTTAAGAGATTAATTAATATATAATTAATATATAATCAATATCGGCGTCGAGTCTAGTTCATAGACACGTTTTTTTCATGGACTGTGGTTGACTCACAAACATATTTTGACTAAATCCTCAGATCACTACAATGTGTTTAACTGTTTAAGGCGACGCTATATTAAATAAAAAGTACAAAAAATGACTGCCATATTTTTTTGATAAAGACACATGTTTTTAAAATCTGTTTACCTTGTATATGAATTGTGTATCTTGACTAATGAAACATGTCAAAGTTAACATCACACATAAACGCATTTTTCCAAACTATGAATTGGAGGTGCATGGATCCCCAAAGCTAGCATGAAGAGTGCGAAGTGAGGCTAATTTTTGAAAGTTTCAAGGAGTAGCCTTGCAACAGTCACACATTTGCAAGAGTCTAAAATTTCCACAAATCATCTTACCTTTCCCAGGAACAACGAAGGAGCATGAAAATGTGCACTTCTTACATTGCTAGAGTATAATAAAGCTCAAACCATTGTAAATTCTAAATATTTCATGTCCACATATTGTTTGCCGGAACTACTTCTAGACTTCCTGATTAATCCTCATGCAAGTTTTGTGACTACACCAAGTGGCATGGATTATCACTTGTATGTTTTATCTATTACAGTGTAATTATCATGATAGATACATGATAGAGGCTTTATGAATGATAAACAATGGAAACATGAATGAAGATAACTCTGGACTAAAAAATAGTTCCAGGAAACAAAATGGTGGACATGAAATATTTAGAATTCACAATGGTTTGAGCTTTATTATACTCTAACAATGCAAGAAGTACACATTTTCGTGCTCCTTCGTTGTTCCTTGGTAAGGTAAGACTATATCTAGAAATTTTGAATTCTTGCAAATGTGTGACTGTTGCAAGGCTACTCCTTGAAACTTTCAAAAAATAGCCTCACTTCGCACTCTTCATGCTAGCTTTTGGGAGCCATACACCTCCAATTCATAGTTATGAAAAATGCGTTTAAGGACAGGGTGCATGTTGGGAAATTTTCTGCATTCCTCAATTGAGTCACATGTTATTTTTCAAACATGAATAACTCCTTCCCCACAATGTCTTCATCTTCCAAGTTTGCACAAAGAGTGCACGTCTGTGCCTAGAAAAGCCTTGTGAGAAGGTTTGTTTTGTAAAATGTATAAAAAATGAGAAAATTCAGTGAAAAAAATTTCCGAAAATTTTCTGATTTTTTTCACTGAATTTTCTTGTTTTTTATACACTTTATCAAAACATTCTTCTCACAAGTCTTTTCTAGGCACATAAGTGCACTTTTTGTGAAAAACTGGAAGATATAGACAATGAAGGGAAGGAGTGATTCTTGTTTGAAAAATAACATGTGACTCAATTGAGGAATGCAGAAAATTTCCCATCATGCACCCTGACCTTAAATGTGAGGTTTTCTTTTATGTGTCTCTTTAGTCAGGAAATGCATTTACATACAAGGAAAACAGTATACAAAATCTTCTGACTTTATCAAAAAAATATGGCTCCCATGTTTTTGTACTTTCGATTAACTTAAATGTCACCTTAAGGCCAGGGTGGATGTTGGAATGTTTTTGCAATTTTGAAAAGTAAACCACTGAATATACTCGTTATTCAAACATTCTGAAGAATTATCAACCCTCAATTAATATTTTGTGCAAGAATGAAAGATGTAGATGATGTGTGGAATGAGTAATGTTTATCTGAAAATAGAACATGGACATGAAATTTCATCAAAGTGCACCCTGACCTTATGACAATACTAGTAAGTAAGCTACAGTTTGGACCATAAATAGTCATGACTTTGCTGAAGTGAAAATTTCCAAAATTAAAAATAAGATAATTTTCAACAGTCCATCCCAGGGTGAACGAAAGTATACAAAATGTAAAGTATACTTCGATGGGAGATGGGAGAAATTCCACGACTCGATCATTTGATTATGTCCCAAACTGTATAACCATTTACTTTTACATCCAAGTCAGTAAAATATCATCAACGCCGTAATGATCAGCGGCCATCAAACAACAAATCAGAGCTCTATCATAATACAATCAAATAAAACCACATATCACTTACAGCTCGTCAGGTACTCTCAATATATGGGTTGTTGCCTTTTAGTCGATTCTTCTACTCCCTTTCCGAGTGTTTGGCCACGTATATCCCATTCCTACTCCTACATGTACATGTATTTGACTGTACCTCTTACTTACACATACTGTATTGTATTAAACCACGTGTAAACAGCACAACCCGATCTAAATGAACATTTATGCGGGGAATTGATTCACTTGTACACATAAATACAAAAATAAATTGATTTAAATATGAATAGCAAGGAGTTACTATTGATTGGCCAATAGTCATATACCGTACTAGTCGATGTGTCATTTTCTGAACCTTTGAATCTGTAAAAACACGATGTTTTATTGTGGAATCACTATCATAAGGGTTTTATGAAGTGATTTAGCTGGGTTGGACAAAGGGCAACCTTGGGGAAAAAATTATATATGCAAATGAAGATGTCCATGATATAAAAGCGATTTTTGAAAGCCTTTGACTCAATTGACCATACTATTTTGTAATAAACTAACAAACGATGAAATCAACTGTGGAATAGTGGTAACATGGCATAATAGCTAAGTACACCAACTCATTGTCTCATCCAACCATACTTCATTAATTACACATGGTGTGATTCAGGGATCTGTTTCATGTTATATTATTTTTCTATACATCAAACACATGCATAAATCAAGTAATTGATTGATTTCTTTGTCACTATTGGTGATGACACACATCTAATTTCATCATATAAAACGTTTGATATCTCCAAATATGCTAAACATGCATACTATATAATATGTACACTATCTGATACGCTATTTTTGTATATTTTAACATTATCTTATTCATTGAAGCTAAAAACATGGGTCTCCAGGTCCCAGGGCTACAATTTTTCCTTTCTAAGATATGTTAGAAATTCAATAATTGGCAACCCAATTAAATTACTAAGAATTTAAGGAAACCACCAATTAGTCACTCCTTTGTACTGCAAGCTTGATAAACAAAATATTTTGAATAAATGCGAAATACCAATAATAAATATGCTAATTTGCATATATGCACAATATCTAAAAAGTTATCATTGTATCTTTTAACATTACCGTATATCTGACTGTCCCTGAAAACATTTTGGCTAATTTGCATATAATGTAGTATAGTAAGGGCACATCAATTGTGATGCTATCATTAATAATGGCTGCCCTTATTTACATATATCATTCCCCTGAAATTAGTTATTTTTGGCAACCCAATTAAATCAAAAAAGAAACCCTTAATTAGTTAATTAGTCAGTAATTTTCAATATATTACAAGCTTGATATAGAAAATATCTGAATAAATGCGATATTTCAATCATAAAATATGCTAAGTTGCAATTATGCACTCTATCTTATAAGTTATCAGGCCTGTGAGACACTTTTCTCCAAGGGGGTGCGGTTTTTAATGAGGAGAAAATAAAATTGTCATTTTTCCGCGTAAATCAAAGGGCGTAAGTCAGAGGGAGGGGTCAGTTACTCTCTATATTAAGGCCAAGCAGCCTATTTTGTAGTATTTTATTGTCTTCATATTGTTTTTAGACTAAATATTGTATGAGCAATTTGGAGAAACATTGGAATAGGGGGAGGGTGTGCTAGAAGGCAATAGAATCAATTTAAAGAAATTCTGATTTTTTAATCATTTTCTTCTTAGAGGAGCGAGTGGGCAGCAAAGGAAAGGGGTTTTCCCTCAGAAACATTGACCATTTCACGGTGCTATTTGATGATGTCTGAGCACTTTAAAAGTGTCTGAGATAATATATGAGATTCATATTTTTTCAATTGTTTTGTGGGGGATGTGATGGGTGACCAACTCTCCTAGAAAATTTTAAGATGATATTTGGTGCTTTCTGTTCACTTTTAAAGTGTATGAGTCAATAAAAGAAATGAACAACAATCACAATTTTTTCAAATTGTAGGGGTGCCAAAGGGGGAGGTAGGGTTGGGGTGCCAAAGGGGGGAGCAAGTGTTTGTCCCCCATATCTGTCCACCAGAAACATTGACCATATAAATGTGTTATTTGATGAAGTCTGGGCACCTGAAATGTGTCTGAGACAATACATGAAATAAATTCAGAATTTTTGTCAATTGTTTTGTGGGGGATGTGATGTGAGTCCATAAAAAAGATCAAATCATAATTTTTTTTTTAGGGAGGGCGAAGGGGAGGTGGGATGAGGATACCAAAGGGGGGATGATGTCTGGGCACTTTAAAAGTGTCTGAGACAATACATAAAATAAATTCAGAACTTTTCAATTGTTTTGAAGGGGGTGTGAGGGATGGCTCACTCCCCCAAGAAAATTTTACAATTTTAAGATGCTATTTGGTGCTTCCTGGACACTTTAAAAGTGTATGAGTCAATAAGAAAAAATCATAATTTTTTCAAA